AATGCATCTCGTGTAATAGGATACATTAGGATCGACCGGCGGACACAGGTAATTTAACCTTTTATTGATTGTCATACCGATCCGGAACAACAACAAACAACATAAAATGAAGTTATGTATAATAGTTTGGCCAGCATATCTGAAAATATTCAAGCCAATTGCTGTTTTTATATATGAAGGTTTCAACTGAATACTAAAAGATCCCCGTGCGTAGATCGGGTACACAGCTGGTATATATATATATAGACTTATATGTGAAAAATAGAAAAATAGGGCTACTATATATAAATAAAGATTAAACATTAAAAAACTTAGTACCCAAGTAAAATTATTTATTAAAATATTTACTGACTATAGTTTCGGCTCTAAGGCCATTTTCAAAGTAAACAAAAATCAAAATAAGATATGTAAATAAATAAATAACATATGATATTATAAAACTTTTCTAACTTGTAACATAATTTTGTCTTCATTGATTAATTTATATACTATATGATGTGTTGTACTTATTTTCATTAATATTTTCTCAATTTTGCTATTGTTTCATATATTGGATTATTCAATTTTGGAATCATTGTATTTAAAATATTTGATTTGTTATTTTTGTAGTTCATATAAATATTAATTTCTTCTTTTACATTCAATTTGTCTCTGTCTTTTTCAATTTCTAATATTGTTAAGTTTTCTTCGATCTTAGTAAACTTATGTTTGGATTTTAGTAAATGATCTGCAAAATTTGATTTCGAAATTTGAGCCGAAACTATAGTCAGTAAATATTTTAATAAATAATTTTACTTGGGTACTAAGTTTTTTAATGTTTAATCTTTATTTATAGACTTATATATATATACGTCCGTGAACGCGATAACTTGAGTAACTTTTGTCCGATTTTGATGAAATTTGGTTTAAAGGTGTAAAGCGGAATAAACTTGAATGAGTTCGCGAACCAGCATGATCGGACCATGGGAACGGGGCTTTACGGGGGGTTTTATGGGGTAAAAATTGGTTTTTCTCACTTTTGACCCTCAAAACACAAAATTTCCCAATTTCTCTTTAGACCTTTTTAAAGAGCTTAAAAAAACAATTAATTTAGTATATAAAGTATTTTTGTCCGGTTAATGGTAACGGAGAAAATTTAAAAAATTGTAAATTTAAAATTCCCATGTTATTCTTATGGAGAATATTGTCAATTGTTGTAGTTTGCTTGTTTATGGATACCTATATTTTGTATTTTGATCAAATTTATTTATTTTGTACTAAGCTATCAATATTTTACAAAAAAAACACACTTTATTAGTTTCCTTGTAGCAGCAAACCTAGGTACTGGTTAAACCTAATGTTATTAAAATATATTTAATTGAAAATCAATTAAGACAAATGGAAATTCCCTTAGTCGGCAGGTTTGCTGCGGCGGGGGTATTTATTCTCTTATTTATAGTATTGCAGGCTTTTTTTAATTTCTTTGCATACATTCCTGCTAGAATAAATCATAAATAGCACCAAACCAGATACCGGTATTCATCTAAATATAATCTACTAAACTCCATATGAATAACAAACAATCAATAATCAGGTAGTCTTCTTTAAAATACAGGCTACGATATGAATTAAAGCTAATGCCACGTTTCAACACCTTTAGGAAAGATCAGGATAAGTTAGTTATTGTGCTTGGTCGACGAAACCTATCGGTTGTAAATTGTGTTACCAAGTTCCCCCGGCACCTTGGCATGTGGACCATCACAAATATTCTTTTAGCGTGGTATAATGGTATTTTCCATTAACAGGTCAGCATTAGATGGTATCATTAACTTTTAAAACAATCTATAGTTGTATCAACATTCAAAGATGGTAAAGGCAAGAGCAGAATGGTGTCAATTTGGACCATTTTCTAAAAAATACGAAAAACTTTTTTGGAAATCAATAGCAAACTGACACATAATTTCTCCAATTATATTGTCAACAACCCTTATAATGAGTTAGTGGTGGGAGTAGGTATAATACAAGTAAAATCACAAAAATGTCAATTGCTTTTTAATCATATTTTTTTATAGCATTAAGGGTAGTATCATTTTGTTAATTTGAAGGACCTTAACAAACTAAATTTCAATCTAAACTGTTTGGGCTGTTTTTGTGAAATTTCTGATTTTTCTGTTGTTTTATAGGGTTGTTTAGTAAAATCCACTTTCAAAATCAAAAATGCCTGGAGAGACCATCGACTAGTACCATCACACCAAATTTCATCAGAATCGGACCACAGTTATATGTACACTGACTCACAAACACACACACACACCACTTCAGAAACCACTTTTTTGGTTCAGAAGAACCCAACAATTTTCTGACTCCACAAACAACATTTTTACTAATAAAAATATTTGATTTGACCCATGTTCAAAGCAGTTACTGAAAATTTAGTTGTTTGAGCAAATTTAGTTGTTTAGTTGTTTGTGTCTAAATAGTGAAACATAATGTTGCATGTAAGTAGATTAGCGCTTCCATGCAATCACAACCACTTCAGGATAAACCAGTTTACTACTAAGTGGCTGTAACGCTTGAACCATTACATAAATCTTGCTGATGAATCTTGCATTGATTAGATCCAGGTAACGCTCAACCAAAGCACCCACTTATACTAACTCACTTTACATGTAAGCCGTGTTGTATAGGCAGCAATCTGATGCTTAAGAGGTGATTAAAATGTACTGGTGATAGTAATTTTAACAAAAAAAGTTTCATGGATTTTTTTACAATAAATAGTTTTTTTGCTAAATTAGAAAATAAAAACTTTCAATATATAAATTCTAAAAATCTGCTTAAAGTTATTACAAATTCAAACATGCCCAAATGAAGAAAAATAAACTGAATAAAATGTAATTAAAACGTAAAAGTAGTGCATTATTCAAGTGGAATGAGATGTTTTGTAGCAATATACATATGGTTGTTGTTATTAAAAGGAAAACATTTGCATTCACTCGATTGTGTAATTGAACAATGATAGGTTTTGAACACTAAGCTATAAAGGTTGTTTGCCTCAAATGACTTGGATAACCCAGTCGAATTCCATGTTGAGCATCAATAAATGTCCATCCAGTCGAAACCACTCAAAACTGTTATACTGCTACTGGAACTGTACTGGATTAAAAGGATTTGGAAGGTTTCAGTTTTGAACACAAATTTCAGAATTTTGATGTACCGTTCTACAGAGAACCTACAATAATATTAGATAAAATTTAATGCAAACATTGGTTAAAATTTTGCATTTGATATAATTTTTGAATGCAAATATAGATTTTTCCTACAGTTACCTAACAATGTACATGTTCTCTCACTGATTTGAGAAAGCAAAGTGGCCAATTCGCTCATCAGTGAGACAATGTTAACATTGTCTCACTCCAGATTTGCAACGTGAAGGCACGAAATAGTGAGCGCGTAACACGCAGGCAACGTCATATGCGCGCTAAATGCGTTGGCAGCACTGGCTGTAAATCAGCTGGTCAGCTGTTGTACTGTTGTATTTGTCTCTTCACATTAAATGTTTTATTAAAAGTTCACTTCTGTGTAAAAATAGGTTATGTTTCTTCACAAATTTATTTGTTTTATGGTAACTGTAGGAAAAGTATAATGTGCAACTCGAGTTCAAAGTACAATTGCCTCACTCGAGAAACCATTCCTCACTCGCCTACGGCTCGGAGTAAGGATTTCTCTCGAGTGAGTCAATTGCTCACTTTTCTCACTAGTTGCACAAATAACTATTCTGTTATGGGTCTTTTTAGAAAGAGGGCCCCCGTCCTCTTTAACAGTGTTTTTAATACTTTACTTTGAAATGGCGACCATACAAATGTAGGTGGATATTTTAAGCTAAGTGGCCCGATCTTGTAGTCTTGATAGTGACTAAGGCCAACATATTCCTTACACAGCTGTTAATTAATAGCCCATACAGCCAATGGAAACTAAGGGACCTACAGTTTATAGTGGAATCCTAACCACCGTTGTGTACTGGTTCTAGAAAAATCTAAGTAATGAAGATTATTTTTTAAACAGTGCTAATAACCATGAGGGTAAACAATTCATATGATGGATAAATCTCTGGTAAATATTACAAGGCAAGATATGGTGGAACAGGACAAGAATCTTTCACGCTGCCCATTTGTGGGATGGATTGAACCACTTTGCATTCACTATCAATGTCCTTTTATCTCAAAGAACATAGTTACAAGAATACAAGGTGTTCACATTTATTCAAATATTTGATATATTTGGTCAAGAGTATAGCATTTGGTGTAATTTAATCAAAAAGTGTGTAATTTTATTTTAAGTGCATTATTTCATTTTATTTATTTCATTGTTACAAACGGTTTATAATCAATTCAGATTATTCTATTATTTTTGGGATTTTACTAGCCATTAGAATTACAAAATGTAAATAATGAAATAAAGCCTTGCGATGAAGTATATTAACCCAGGAATTGATTTTTTTGACTATCAGCCATTTTATAAAAGCAGACTTCCTCATCCAGAGAAAGTTGAATTTCACCAGAGGGTTCTTTCAAGTCTCTATTATTAGCTTCCTAAAATCCAATCAACGGTAAAAGTAGGAGTGAATTCCATAATGCTTTTCCTGGTGAATTGATTGTTTCGGATAACATGTCAGGCAGGGCTATAATAGTTTACTATCTTTGAGTTTGGATTTCACCCACTAAGGAATTATACCTGACATTAAAAAAAACAGTACATGTACAAAGCGGAATCTTGCTTCCCAGAATTCTACCCTGGAATTTACCCCCAAAATCTTATCTCTTGGAATCTTACTTCCCTTGTAAAATGAACCGAGTGGATAAGTTGGAACCTGAACCCCCAACCCCCACACGTATAGGTTTGAAGTGTTGTTCTCAAATTCAAGTTGTTGATGTGAGTTCAATTTCTGTCAGCGTTTACTTTTTTTATTGAAACAAATTTAGTATAAATTTCAAGGAAAGGATGAAATTAATAAATTTCCAAAATCAAAACAACTTGTTTATTATTATATTTCCAATTCTAAACTGGCTTGCCCTTTCTTAAGGACATTGTAATACAAATGTAATATACATATTCTTGCATGATGTAAATAACTAAAGTAGAGTCATTTTGGGGATGTATGTATATATATATTTTTATTTTAACCATTTATATTTTATATATATGTGTATTTCATCAATAAAGACTATGAATGCCTATTAGTATATTTACAGTAGTTGAATTAAAAAAAAAACTAATTACACAGTTGTAAAAATTATCAACACTTCACTCATAACAGAGAATAGAAAAGACTTTATAAAAATGCAATGCCCTCTTCAGTCTTTAAAAGTTGTGTTTTTGTGCATAGCCAAAATATAAAAAATGTTTAACAATTTATTCTGTTTAAATAATTTAAAATGCAAATTAAATGAATAAAAATATTTTGATTACTAGAAAGTTTTAATAAGTTTTGGTAACCCTAGGATGGCTTGCATTTTTCATTTATCTCAAATATCATTCATCGACATTTCCTTAAAAACTAAATAACTCTAAAGACAATCACACAGACAATTTTGCAACAAGGAACCACATAGATCCAACATTCTTAAACACTATCACATTTAGATTACAAGATCTAAGGCTAGACCGTAGAAAAGTTAAAAAAACTAAGGACATTTGCAAAATAAAATTATGGCCTATAATATTTTGATCACAAATCATAAAATGTTTCTAACGGATTTAAATTACTTTTATAAATAACTGAACGGCGTGAAAACATTCCATGTTGATATTTTTTTGGTCATATTTCAGAGAGTAAGCTTATTTCTAGTAAAATGTTGACCAGTTGACAATTTTTAAATCAATGACTTTTAAATGTAATATAACATCAATACAGTACCCAAAATGCGGCATTAGCGGACAGACATGTAAGAATTAAATATTTACATTAAACATAAAAGCTTTCACTGATAGTTAATCAATGTTGAAATCAGAATTATTATAGTGGGAATAGTAAACTCCTCAAAATAACCTTATCTATTTAAAAAAGGTAAAATCCAAGACTTCTGCGGTAACTAGTGTAAATATGGTAAACAGAAAATTATTAATACACATTAGACCAGAATTGTCAGTAGTTGATAATCAAAGGGAACATGTAAAAATACATAAAAAGACTTAGGCCTAAGTCGTAAATGAAATTTAGTTTGGTTTAAATTATTTGGTTCAGATTTGTATATTTGTAAGTAAACTTAAACGTAAAACTAAAACAAGAAACGTAACTGTAATACCTATTTACTGCATTTTGATTAATTCAGCTTGTTGGAATTTTCTCCGTTCTACAGGAAATTCAACATTTTAGGCCCAGCAAACGATGAACCACGATTAATTGCTTCGAGTTTAAGTACACTTCATTGGCAAGAACCAGCTTACAGGTGGATTTTCAGATTTGATGAGTTACATAAAATATAAGGAAGACTGTTGCAATCTAGCTACTAGTATAAAAATAAAAAAATAATATAATTTTTAAGGATAAAAGCTTATTTGAATACAATTAACAAATGTATACCATGTAAAGATACGAATCACAGAACAATTAATTGAGCAATCATTAAAATATATTAACAATTACAATAAAAACACTAATTAAACATTAACACTTCTGACACATCTTATATGGGTTTTGTAAAAATTGTTGACAAAAAATTTATAAAAGCTTAGTTGGTCAAATCACTAACACAAATGTGTCATTCCGTTTGATATTAGACTTAACACAATTATAAAGTATTTAAACTTATTGAAACATTCATTGTTTACGTAAATAATTAATCCTTTGAATTAAATGTCAAGGATCATCGATCACATGCTAGATCATCTTTGATTCATGCGTTCCTAACATATTTCAAAAATACTTATAAAAACTTAGATTCACAAACATTATTTATTTAAACATTCAAAACGTTACAAACAATCTAATTTTGTTACAATATTAAAGAAATAACAAACAACACACTAGGCCTAAACCAGTATGCACAGTCTGTAACAATTAATTCGTTCACATACAGTAAAAATAAATGGCAGTGCTAAATGACCAAAACTGAAATCCACCTGACGTTTTAACATTAGGCGTAACAAAAAGTCGGCTACCCTACTAACACAACCCGTATGTAACTACTCTGTACCTGCTACATGTATAAATAAATAAAAACCGTGTACAAATGATGTGTGCTAAGAGCCTTCTCAGTGCTTATGACGGAGTTTCATCACAGTGTAGTGGTTACTCCATCCTGAAATGAGAAAAAAAGGTTATATCAATGTCTCTTTGCTGAGTGACATTAATTTTAAGGTTATAAAATAAATTATACAAGCTCACATTCCCGATTAAAATATAGACATATTCTTATCTCAAAAATCCTTTTGGGCTCCGCCCCAGTGGCTCTGGGGTTACCCATGTTAACCTTATGAGTATTCATATTTAAAAGGAATTAAAGAATTTTTTCAGCTGTTTCAACTGCCAAAGTTGGTTCTATGATATTAAGTCTTCTTGGTTTCAACACTTATATTACTCACCAGACTTTGTCTGTTAGAGAACCGAAGCATCTTCTCTGCTAGTGTTGAAAGTTTCATCATGATCCAAAACTTCCTCCTTGTTTTCTGAGGCAAACCTCTTCAACTCTGCTTCTATCTCCTGCAAAGTAAATGTAATTGTTTGAAAACCGTTAACAAATTTGACTGTATATCCTTACAGTAAACAATGTTGTGTCAATGGAAGAGATTATTTATATGGCATTTTGTACATTTACTGACAGATATTTAGCTTTAAGAAATTTATTTAAGATCAATTTATTTACTGAACTGAAAGGACTCTGATGTATTTTTTGAAGCCAAAAAGGTTTGTGACAGATATAATAGTAGACATTACAACAAGAATCAGATAGTAGTAGTAAAACTACAAAAGGCAATTTAATTCATTTTATTAAAATTTCAGTGATTTATCCACCTCAGTGATAGTGTCACTTCATTAAAATTCCTAGTGTCAAGGATTCTCGAAATAGTGTATCCCCATCAAATTACGAATACATATTACATAATGCTATTGTGAGTGGTTACCTGAGGTAGTTTAGACCGGTTCCACAAGCGGTGATACCTCGAGATGACTTGGCGCAGTTGGGCGTACAGATCAATGTGTACCTCCAGTGAGTGGACGTGTTGTGTGACATTGACTGCCTCGTGTAGCAGCCGCGTCAGGGCTGACTTGTTGATTACTAACGTCTTACCTCCCCCTAGTGGGCAAAATGTAAAATTTACATATATTTCAAAACTAGCTAATAAAATAATAGTTGTAAAATAGTAGACAAGAGCCTAGGTTACAGATTTTTGTTGGGATTGCAGGCTTAACCGAATGGGGAAAAATCCACCTGCCAGAACTATGTTCTTTTTGATAAAAAAAATCACAACATGCACAATCGCAAAAAAATCAGGGACAGCTGGTCCCTCTAGATGGGATGTCTGCTTTGGTATCCTTAAGTCAATGGTTCAACAGTGCAGTTAAGATCTACCAGTCTGCTTTGATTGTAGATACCTAACTTCTAGTTTCAAATAATCGTCACCTTTGTTCTGTTTACTGGATGGAGAGTGGTTGTCTGTTGTGGAGTTGGGTTCGTTGTGGTTGCTCCCACTCTCCTTTCCACTGCCCAGTCGATCTTCACCTCCTTCTTCCTCTTCTTCTTCAGAGCTGGAACCCTCGATGCCATTTACCATCATGTCCTGCTCTTCATCATTCTCTTCTAAAAACATTATGTTCTTAAGTAGGTAACACAGTTGAATACGGTATTATTTGTATTATTAGTGATAGTGGTATCCGTTCAAATGCATATAGATACGTGTGTGTGTGTCTGATAGCATGCTAACTTGACGAAAAAATATCCAATTTTGATGATATTTTGAAATTTTGCACATTTGCTGTGGCGTGGGTACTTTTTAAATGTTCATAGATTCCTTAAATATGAAGAGAATATACAGGACGGAGAGGATACAGCTAACTCATCTAGGATGAAAGGTTGCAGACGAATAAGAGAACACATAAAACAACATGTTGTAGTTGTTTTTCTAGGCCACTTAAACGATTTGATTCATGAGGGAGTCAGGACCATATACGAAAAACGCCTGCAGAATGTCAATGCAATACCCCCCCCCCCCCCCTTCCCCAAGTAAAGCATCTCACTGACATTTTCCAGCAATACAGGTTCTTCTAATATATGATTGAAAATAAATATTTTTCACATAAAATTCATATATACAGGGTGTTGAAAATGTCTGGAACCAACATTATATCTGGTGAGTGGTTAAAGAAAAACAAATGATATTTTGTGTACGGATATACTATGGTTTTACCTATCTTTTGGTGCCTTATGAAAATTTTTACCACTTATAGGGAACGTCCTGTGGAGGATGCAGTAATAAGTTTAAATAGAAGCCTATGGTAAATGATACATCATTTTATAGGCCATTTTTTTCTGAGTAAGGAGCCACAAGTTTCATCTCAAAAGGACCACCCTAGCAAAAATGACGACTGTTTGAAATTTAAATAACCACTTATAGGGAACGTTCTGTGGAGGATGCAGTAAAAAGTTTTCATTGAAGCCTATGGTAAATGATACATCATTTTAAAGGCCATTTTTTTCTGAGTAAGGAGCCACAAGTTTCATCTCAAAAGGACCACCCTAGCGAAAATGGCGACTGTTTGAAATTTAAAAATTCCGTTCCCTATAAGTGGTTTTTTAAATTTCAAACAGTCGCCATTTTTTCTAGGATGGTATTTTTGAGATGAAACTTGTGGCTCCTTACTCAGAAAAAAATGGCCTTTAAAATGATGTATCATTTACCATAGGCTTCCATTAAAAATTTTTACTGCATCCTCCACAGGACGTTCCCTATAAGTGGTAAAAATTTTCATAAGGCACTAAAAGATAGGTAAAACCATAGTATATCCGTACACAAAATATCAGTTGTTTTCCTTTAACCACTCACGAGATATAATGTTGGTTCCAGACATTTTCAACACCCTGTATGTATGAATAGGCCTAATACCACATCAACAAAAATTTGCATTACACGAATGTGGTAAATTTTATTTAGTCTATTGTTATTTCACTCCATTGACAAGTATGAATAGAAAAATGCCGTATTGCTTCAAATCGATTTGCATCAATTCAAATCGTAAATACCTTTTAAATCGAATCGTTGCTTTGAATCAAAAATTTGTTGCTGCTTCGCACACCCCTAGTAAAAAGGTTACAATACGTGCAGACTGGCTATAGTGGTCCTCCTGTTGGATGGTCAAGGACCACTATAGGCAGTCTGCAGGTATTGTAACCTTTTTATTTTGATTTGCATGAACATCACATCAAAGAACACATTTAGCTGTGTCCTCTCCATCCTAATATTTAATCCAAGCTAAATGATTCTTCCTAAAAACATTACCTTATGGAGAGGTAAGTCCTAGAACAGCCCCAACTCATGTTTAAACTTAACGTAATAGACAAGTATCATAACTCACCTGTCCCAGCAGCATCTGACAGACTCCTACGGCCACCTTTGATAGGTGTACTGTGAGCCTGCGAGTCCAGTTCGGAGTTGATAGTGTCGTCCATAGACGAGGCACCCACCTCCTCCTTCTGGCTCTTGGACTTGGAGTCCGAGGGAGATGTACTGGTCTGTTAACAGTTAAACCGGAGTGGTAACTATCCCCACAGTAATATCATTCACAAATTTCTTAATATGCAGGGGTGTTCCGTACTTACTTACGGGACACCCTGTATAAATATCTAAAAATTAGTGATGGTCAGATCCGGATATCGGACTACCGGATCCGCCGGATCCGAGCTAGAACCGGCACCGGATCGGATCAAAATTTCCGAATCCTTGGGCTGGATCCAGGTTTAGATGGGTCCGATTTTTTAAAATTTTTTCCCGATTTTTTTCCTAACACTAAGCTGTCTGTATCACTGTACAACCCCGATTTGTTTACTAAACACCACAAAGCTGCTGTATCACTGTACAGCCCCGATTTGTTAAATAACATAAAGCTGTCTGTATCACAACCCGATTTTTTTACCAACACAAAAGTGTCTGTATCACTGTACAACCCCGATTTGTTAACTAACATAAAGCTGTCTGTATCACTGTACAACCCCGAATGTTTTTACTAACATAAAGCTGTTTGTATCCATGTAAGAGACCGATTTCCCCCCCGATTTGTTTACGAACACAAAGCTGTCTGTATCCCTGTACAACCCCGATTTTTTACCAACACAAAGCAGTATGTATCACTGTACAACCCCGATTTATTTACTAACACAAAGCTGTCTGTATCACTGTACAACCCCGATTCCTTTACTAGCACAAAGCTGTCTGTATCACTGTACAACCCCAATTTTTTTACTAACATAAAGCTGTCTGTATTCATGTAAGAGACCGATTTCCCCCCGATTTGTTTACTAACACAAAGCAGTCTGTATCACTGTACAACCCCGAATGTTTTTACTAACACAAAGCTGTTTGTATCCATGTAAGAGACCGATTTTCCTCCGTTTTTTTACCAACACAAAGCAGTCTGCTGTATCACTGTAGGTATTTACTCAGGGGAGGTACGGAAGAGGCTACGATGACAGCTGTGGGCTTCTTATTAGCTGAGGGAACGCTATTACCGTAACAATACGGGTTGTGGACAACGGCTTCGGTGGTCTAGTGGATAGCGTGCCGGACTGGCTTGCTAAAGGTCCCGGGTTCGAATCTCGCTGGTTGCATTAACTTTTTGTCTCAGATTTTTTCATTATCAGCAAGTTTGGTTGGTTTGGTTCGGTCATGACAGTTTAATTTTATTATTAAGTCATTATAAAATTTTATTTGAGCAATTTCTAGTTTTATTTAATAAACATAATTATTTTTTCTATTACTAATCTTTTTTATATTATTTAATTATCAGCAAGTTTGGTTAGTTCGGTTAGGTTATGATAGTTTAATTTTATAATTAAAAAATTATAAAATTGAATTTGAGGCATTTATAATTTTATTTTATGAACAGAACTATTTTTGCGAATAGTAAACCTTCATTGACAAAGTGCTCTCTACTACAGCGCTGTTCGCGGAGGAATTTTGAACTAAATGCCTCATTTGTACCTCCCCTAAGTCAGACCCATCACTGTACAACCCCGATTTGTTTACTAACATAAAGCTGTCTGTATCCATGTAAGAGACCGATTTTCCTCCGTTTTTTTACCAACACAAAGCAGTCTGTATCACTGTACAACCCCGATTTTTTTACCAACACAAAGCTGTCTGTATCACTGTACAACCCCGATTTGTTCACTAACATAAAGCTGTCTGTATCCAAGTAAGAGACCGATTTCCCCCCGATTTGTTTACTAACACAAAGCTATCTGTATCACTGTACAACCCCGATTTTTTCCCGATTTGTTTACTAACACAAAGCTGTCTGTATCCATGTACAAGACCGTTTATTCCCCGAGTGTTTGTCTCTTGATGCAAACAACTTACATGGCAAGGCCATGTCTCGATGTTTGTATCTAGATGCAAATAACTTGTATGTCACGGCCATGTCTCAGTGTTTGCCTCTTGATGCAAATAACTTATATGGCGAGGCCATGTCTCAGTGTTTGTCTCATTATGCAAATAACTTAAATGGCAAGGCCATGTCTCATTGTTTACCTCTTGATAAAATAACTTATATGGTAAGGCCATGTCTCAGTTTTTGTCTTTTGATGCAAATAACTTATATGGCGAGGCCATGTCTCAGTGTTTGTCTCTTGATGCAAATAACTTATATGGCGAGGCCATGTCTCAGTGTTTGTCTCTTGTTGCAAAAAACCTATATGGCAAGACCATGACTCAGTGTTTGTCTCTTGATGCAAATAATTTATATGGCAAGGCCATGTCTCATTGTTTGCCTCTTGATGCAAATAACTTATATGGCAAGGCCATGTCTCATTGTTTGCCTCTTGATAAAATAACTTATATGGTAAGGCCATGTCTCAGTTTATGTCTTTTGATGCAAATAACTTATATGGCGAGGCCATGTCTCAGTTTTTGTCTTTTGATGCAAATAACTTATATAGCAAGGCCATTACTCAGTTTTTGTCTCTTGTTGCAAATAACTTATATGGCAAGGCCATGTCTCAGTGTTTGTCTCTTGGCAACGCCATGTCTCAGTGTTTGTCTTTTGATGCAAATAACTTATATGGCAAGGCCAATACTCAGTTTTTGTCTCTTGTTGCAAATAACTTATATGGTAAGGCCATGTCTCAGTTTTTGTCTTTTGATGCAAATAACTTATATGGCAAAGCCATTACTCAGTTTTTGTCTCTTGTTGCAAATAACTTATATGGTAAGGCCATGTCTCAGTTTTTGTCTTTTGATGCAAATAAATATAGCAAGGCCATTACTCAGTTTTTGTCTCTTGTTGCATAAAACTTATATGGTACGGTCATGTCTCAGTTTTTGTCTTTTGATGCAAATAACTTATATGGCAAGGCCATTACTCAGTTTTTGTCTCTTGTTGCAAATAACTTATATGGCAAGGTCATGTCTCAGTTTTTGTCTTTTGATGCAAATAACTGATATGGCAAAGCCATGTCTCAGTTTTTGTCTTTTGATGCAAATAACTTATATGGCAAGGCCATTACTCAGTTTTTGTCTCTTGTTGCAAATAACTTATATGGCAAGGTCATGTCTCAGTTTTTGTCTTTTGATGCAAATAACTGATATGGCAAAGCCATGTCTCAGTTTTTGTCTTTTGATGCAAATAACTTATATGGCAAGGCCATTACTCAGTGTTTGTCTCTTGATGCAAATAACTTATATGGCGAGGCCATGTCTCAGTGTTTGTTTCTTGATGCAAATAACTTATATGGCAACGCCATGTCTCAGTTTTTGTCTCTTGTTGCAAAAAACCTATATGGCAAGACCATGACTCAGGGTTCGTCTCTTGATGCAAATAACATATATGGCAAGGCCATGTCTCAGTGTTTGTCTCTTGATGCAAATAACTTATTTGGCAACGCCATGTCTCAGTTTTTGTCTCTTGTTGCAAAAAACCTATATGGCAAGACCATGACTCAGGGTTCGTCTCTTGATGCAATTAACATATATGGCAAGGCCATGTCTCAGTGTTTGTCTCTTGATGCAAATAACTTATATGGCAAGGCCATGTTTCAGTGTTTGTCTCTTGATACAAATAAATAACATATATGGCAATGGCATGTATCTTTTCGAACTGAATCCGACCTGATTTTTCGGATATCTGCACACCTCTAGTTTTTAGTTTTTTACCTGGATGATAAGCTAACGGCCTATAATCTCGTCTCGAAAATATCCTGTTAGTATTTCAATCTCACCTGATGCTTTGTGATAAAAAATAATAAAATTATGATTTAAATTGGCATTCTGTTAATTACGTTTTTTTAACCCACCCTTATGACATTGTGTATCTAGATTCGGATCCGAAGATTCGAAGATCCGGATCCGAATTTTTCAAGATCCGGACTCGGATCCGGTACCGACTTTTTCTTTGATCCGCCCATCACTACTAAAAATATAATTGATTTTCATGAGTTCACAGTAAGATATACTATGAGGGTTGTACATTAAATTTAGGTCTCCGAGCTCCAGTTGCAACCACTTGAATTAGTTCAAATATGATATCGGAGTCGTGTTGTTTACAATTCCCACTACTATTCTATTCAATCCTCACCCCTTTGTGATAATTATTCTCATTGTGGTAGTCCATAAAGATGTAAGAAAAAATCAAAAGCCATGCCGTGGTAAATATGAATCAAATCAGATTTGCACCTTTCTGTTATAAATATAACCACAACACAATACATACTTGGCTGGAGCATCGATTTTACCTCACATCTCTTATCAATTAGCTGCTAGTGAGATTATTCCTTTATTAGTGAAAGCAGGCTAGATAAGTGGATGAAGTCAAGAGTATGGCACTGGGGTCATCATATACTACAGTCAATTACACTTTTAAGTACATCTTAATAATTGAATATGATTTGGAATAGCTCGCTAAGCCACAACCGTACACTCGTTGGAGATCTTAATTTACTTAATTAACGGACATCCCTTGAATAATTTATTTGCAGGTTAAAAATTGACATATAAGTCATTTTGAGCAAGCTCATATTGCCAGAACTACAAAAGAAAGGGGTTATGCTTAAAAACGTAAAAAGAAATTTTAACAACTACAAGGTCTAAAACATAAAGAGATTGAATGATAAAGAGATCATATTTGTTTTGATTATCCATCCTTCATCTTTATTTAAAACCCAGCTGTTTCTGATTATTATTCATTTTATGAGAAATATATTGAACATGTACTGTCAAATATGTTTTATTAACTAGATGAGACTAGGTTAGCTAATAACTCCTTCTTCTAGAGATCACAATACAGTATCTCTATATTAACTTACTTGTGATAGTTTTGGTTTCCTAGCAGACTTGTTAGCTATGCCTCTACTCCACAGGGAGTTTTTCTTCCGTTTCCGGTCATGTATTAGGGACCGTTTCGTCAGACTTTTCTTGGTGGTAGCAGAACCAGTCTGGGAAGTGGTGTTTGCCTCAGTAGAAACAGCTGTTGAGCACCAAAACATAAAATATATATTGAATATTACTTTTCTAAATTAACAGGGGATGTTTACGACCCACAAACTAAGAAAGTTTCATTAGTTTTCTCCATCTTTCGGTAGGATGTAAAAAATGTCTATATTTTACCAGAGGCGAGTATTAGAGAGCTATTCAGAAAGTAACAGAAGTTTTAGCCTGGCGCGGCAGTGGGGGGGGCTAGAACCGCTATCTTGGCATCATGGTAGCTTGACACTGACGCTGAACTCTATGCTGGTATCCACATGACCCTGCATTAATCAGAGGATTTCTACAAAGAATATTCTTTTTCAATGCAAGCTAGTACCACGTTACAATAAATGCATTAATTTAAATGGCGATTATGTAGAAAAATAGCCTAAGACTTTAGCTTCAAAATTTATAAAGGTAATAAAATTTACTTTGTATAAGGTCTATTTCAAAACGTCTGTTACTTTCTGGATAGCCCTCGTATATACAATAGTTGCATGTTTTACTTAACTGTATCAGATGTGCAACTAAAACATAACAAGTACAAACTTTGTGTAGCTAAACAATAAGTTTACTACATCAAATACTACTGCATCCTTTACCGATTAGGCCTAAAATAAAACTTTGGTACTTCCCAACTAACATACTAACAAAATACAAACTTGTCATGGATGACTGTTCGACCTAGTAAATAAAATTCTAACAACGCCAGATAAGAAATACAGTAATGACTTCAAAACGAAGACCTACCCTACATATTGCACTAAGGTTTACATAAATGAACAGGCATAAGTCTCTCACCGTTTGAATTGTTTGCAGCAGAAGATTGATGATTATTGCCTTCACTGCCTAGCCTCTTCTGTTGTTCCACCTATAACATTAACACAACTTTTAGTTTATTCAATTGGGCCCATTCTAATGTGAAGAACTCTTCTTCAAATCCTCGCAGAATTTTACTTTTTTTCTCATGTATGCTAGCTAGATCTTCCTGATATAAATAGTTACATATTATACAAATAAAAATTATAATCTATTTTCTAGTGATAGAAATAGGCAAAAAAACAGGCCTAACACTGGTTGTAATCAGTAGTAATCTCTGCTTGAATTCTAAAAATAGCTTATTCCCTGAATAGGAAATATGCTAATAGGGTTTATTTTATTAAGCACTATTAATGTCCTGTTTTAAAAGGATCTTTCAAGGAAAACATGATGAATAAGGTTGTCATGATAGACCTAGGGGAGTAGATTAGATTGAGTTTAATTATCACTTATAAAAAGTCAGGCTAAGTAAAATACTAGATTTAGGTGTATATATTTTGAGAGCTAACAAATTCATTCAATTCCGTTTAGAGAAAGGCTCTATAATTCGGCCGCTTACAAAGCGACCTCCTCCAGCATTGGTTTAGCATTAGCGCGCAGGTCATTTTCTAAGCGGCCGAACTATATTCCAGGATTATGAATTGTAGAATAAAGAGGATTGTAGCTAGCTTACTTTGAAGAAGTGCTGGTAGGCCTTAGAACAAAGAAGACCACAGAACAGTGAAACAAATATATGTGCATCCCCTGGTGGACTTCATGAAGTTTAGAGATAGCGAAAGTGTGTTTAACAAAAAAACTCTCTTTCACTTTCTCTACACCACATAATATCCTACAGGGGACAAAATATTGTGTGTCTTCTATATGTTCTGTGGCCTACCAGACTTCTTCAAAGTAACATAGCTGCTATCCTCTTTATTCTACAATTCAAAATTCATTCAATTATTAGAAATATAACAATGCTACTACTAAATCAGAAGGAATATCGACAAATAACAACGTCTACAATTCTTAGATATTTGAGTATAATTTGTATCTACTTTTCAACAGAATCTGCTAAAGATATCAATAACCTCACCTTCTCCTTAGGTTCCCTTCCTTCTCTAGCCTCCTTGTGTTTTTCTGCATTGGCAACACAATAGCCAACAAACTCCTTAAAGTAAGCATAAACAGAAGGTTTAGATCATTAAATTTTGTAATTAACTCAATATGAATTCTATACCAAGACTGACACTAACGGAAAGTTAACAACCAAGGAAACTCAGTATGGGATCTTAAACCCTGCAGGCCTCGGTAGAATTTGAAAGTATCTATAGATTAGCAGATAACTCACCATGGCTGCGGTTTGGATGAACTCAGGAGCAAACTCGTCCACAATGGCTCCCCTCTCAACTCTCGACTTGCGTATCTCCCGGCACATGTCCTCAAAGTCAGAGTCCATTTCAGCCTTGATCAACGCGTAGGCCGTGTCTCGCAAGTAGCACGCTCTGTGACGTATCAACTTGTCCGCTGGGTCTCTGACACAAACAAGACGAAACGTTGTTGTCATCAAATTGAAGATTATATTGTTCTAGAAACATCTGGAAACTAAGACGTCATTCTGATTCATCCAAGTTAATTAGGGTGTCAAGAATCAGATCAATAAAAGTCTCGGTAAAATCCGTACTAGTTAGGGTTCCGAAAATCATAATTTGTCCTGATCAATGAAAGTATGGGAGATAGAATTAAATTTTTTTAAAGAAAAAGCTATGTTATTCTAGGACTGCCTTGATTGCACTTAATCATTGGGCCTACTAAGTAGTGAAGTAGAGGTAGGTACAGTCCTATCAAAGTAGTGTGGGAAACTTTTTTGCAGTTCTAATGCAGAGTATGCCAAAGTCACTGAGTGTGACCATTTCTAACCCCCTATTAAAAAACAGCTTATGAATTACATAGCCAAAAACTCTTTGGTGTTATGTTCATGGAAAGGCTGGTGTTCTTGTCTTTAGCAATTGTGAAAATTCTAGTGTTACAGCATGCTACAAAACCAAACTGGGTTGTTTAAATAATTTCATTGTTATCATAGCTGTATGGAATCTTGATAAAAAAGTGAGTCTGAGCTTAAACTTTGTCAGGTTAGGGTTGTCTGTTACTCATCAGTAGGCCTAACCATTTTTAAGTGTTTTGTGTTCGAGTGTGTCCCCGTTTTGAAATATTTACGTTTGTGTTCATTAAATTTGCTTATCTTCGTACAAAGATACAGAAAAAACTCCCTTGTGCCGCTTGTGATGGTTTCATATAGGAGCTGAAACTTATTGCGATGGATACCCTAATAGCAGGTATAAAAACCTTGTTTAATATTTTGTGTCAATCCGAAGGCTAACATCTACAATGAAATGTTTATAAACTGTTGTTAAATATCTTTTCAGATTAGCCAAAGTCTGTATCAATGGAGTGTGTATTAGTGAGTGTTTAGTAGGCTAGTCAACTGTCTAATGAACAGTAGTATTTAACATAATGTTGTATTTATTTCAATCACTTTGAGACATTTTATATTTTAATGCACAATGACACAACTAGATACTTGAGTAGCTGCCAAATACTTGACTTTAATAAAACACCACTACGCGTATAAAGTCCAAGTTTAACTCACCTGTCAGGATTGTATTCGAGAGCGTTGCGACAGATGAGTTCAACATCGTTGAGGAAGTCTTGAGCACAGTTGTACTTATGAAGATCTATCTTGGTCATCATAGTCTCCAGGTCCATGGGTTCCTTGATGATAGTCAAGTAGTCAGGCACTTCATTGATGTCAACAGGTCGTGAAAACATGAAAAATCTGCAACAGGATCGTTACATGAAGACTGATAAGAGTAAGGATGAAATTAAGTGTTGTTGGGTTTTACAGTGCTATTCAGTTTGTGTTGTGTTTCAATATGTTTTGGTTAAAATTCAATTAAATTGTAAATATTACTAGAAACTTCAATGAAAATGTTAAACCAAACCTAAGTTGTTTCTTACCGCTCCACTCTATTATCGGAGGCGTAACTGTTAAAACATGTTAACCAATGTTGAATATTTTTGTACAAAAAAATTACACATTATATAATTCAACAAGGGGGAAAAGCATATTAACAATTACATATGAAAAATCAAAAATATTTTAAACTTATTATATTACATTTTATAGCCATTTAGGCCTAATATTGGGCTATGAATTTTTTATTCTATCTGACAAATAAAAGGCTGACGTTAGATAGTAACAAAACAAGACCAGCTTAACAAAACCTTAAAAAACTTAAAAAATGCCATTGACGTAGAAAACACACAAAGCGTTTTGTGTTTTCTACGTCAATTGCATTTTTTACGGGTGTTCCCTGCAGACATTTTTTCCCCCTAAAGTAACGTAAATACTCGTTATTTTTTTCAGAATAGAGGTGAGATGTCACATTCAGTAGGTCAATCTAAAAAATCAATAAATAGGGCAGTTTCCTTAGGGGGGGGGGGGGGAAATGTAGCCTATAGCATAAAATATACAAATAGAAAATAAATTAAAATAACAAAGTAGTTTTTAGGATTGAATAACAATCCTTTAATCCTTTGTTGACACTGTTCTTTGTAAATTATGATTTGACATGAAGCTAATGGTGTACTGATACTCACTGCTTGTTGCGAGCCAGCTTGTTACAGATCTGCCGCAGAAAGATACGCAGTTCGCGCAGCTTGTGCTCCTCCTTGGCGTACAACTTGCGCAGCTCCGGCTGGCTCAGCTTGGGGGGAGGTGGGGGAGGGGCCTCAGGCAGTTCCTCCAGTGGCTCTGTAAATAACACATCATCAAGCCCATTGTCATAGCGTATTTGCACTGGCTGATTACACACTGGAATTGCTATTTCTTGGTCCTCCATTTCCAAGACCATGCTTTAGATGGCCAAGTTTGTATATTTGTAGAACACAAAAAATATTCCATTAACAAAGTGTTTTAGAATACTTTAATTAAGTTCAGTTTTGCATCAGTCTATTTGGTATTTGGGTCTATTTGGTATTTGGGTCTATTTGTTATTGCACCACTTGACACAAATCCACATTTGATATTTTGGTAAAACTAATTTGTCCAGTAGAACTTCAATAAATAGAGCGATGGTGAACTTTTTCAGGCATTATAAAACTAGACAAGGCATCTCCATAAGCACTACTTAAAAGGAATCAAAACAGTGTATTTAGTTTGAATTGTCTCAAGTTTTCCGGTACCTTTTTTCTTCTCTGGTGGTGGCCGAAGTAATGCACGTTGCAGCAACAGTGGTCGGAAGAACTCCTCCTTCTGTTTGGCAGTGGGAGGCTTGATGGTGAAGATCTCATTGCGGTAGGCACTGAACATGGGTCTTAACTGTAACAGTAAATCATTGATCATTGCTCGTAAAATAGGTCTACCGTAAAATCTTGTCATGGAGATAACAGGTAAACCATTGTTCTTTTTTTTAAGAATTAAATCTATATATATAAACTTCTTATACATTACCTCGTCAGGAACTTGGTTGACAGCTGTTGCTAACAGGAAGATCGGCAAAGTAGGGTCCAACTGACTCAGGAGAGACTTGAAAATTGCTCTGACTGCTGGACCCACTGTCTTCCAGAACTCAGCGATTCCCGGCACATACAGTATGGATGGAATGTTACGGCGCACTTCATTTAGCAACTGTCAAAACAATAGTTGGATTGAATAAAACATTGAAGGTTGTCAACTAAAACTAAAACATTGCTCATAGCTTAACTATAATTGCCTTGCAACAGTTTTGAAACAAGGAAAATGAAGATTTAGTTTACCTGCACAATAGCTTCCTCTGGCGACCTGGATGACTCGGAGTAGATGGTGGCCAAATCCATGGTAAACACAGGACACCCCTCCATACGCAGCAGTAGAGCCGCAGTGGTCAACAGAGTGGCCTTGCGCTGTCCTAGCACTAGCAACCTTGGCGACTTGACCATCCTCATGCTGCAAATATTGTAAACTTAATAAACAATATTGTATGGTCTTATAAACTTGGATTTTGTTCACAATGCCTGAATGTTAAATAGTCAATCCTAGATCGGTAAAACAGGCCTAAATGTTAAATGTTAAATAGTCCACCCTGGCACAAAAAAAAAACGCAAAACCCTAGTTACACTTTATACTGTGACAGCATTTTCAACCAAGAAATGTTTGTCAGAACAATAAAGTAGGATAAACAAGAGCTGCATCTCTGATTTGTCAATTACTTGGTGGAAGGTACAGAGGAAACATTTAATGGTACACTTAAGTGGTGTCTGGGACATATAGTCCAACACCCCCCCCCCCCCCCCCCCACAACTTCATGTACTACAACGCTGGAGGACAGTGGAGGAAGCTGTTCCCTGTGTGATAGGAGTTTCCACAGAGTGCTTGCCATTCAGGCTCTCTCTTGCTCGTCACACGTATATTTCTGGCATTCTGTCAAAACATACCAGGGCTGAAAGCGCACGGTTGTCCCATAAGCGTGTTTCCTCTGAACCTTACTTATCTGAGGTCAATCCTAAAATGGTAGAAAATTATAAATGGAGTTATAACTGAGTAATTCAAGGTAATACAACACAAACTTACAAAACTGCTGAACTTTCTGGCAAAATAAAAAAAATGTGCACCCATGTGTATTTTTTTTTTCTTGTGAGTTAATTATAGCATTTTTTGTCATATCGTAATTATAAAAAAACTAGGAAGGAAATCAAATGTTTACAGCAGCAAGGGCAGTTTAATTCATTACAAACTTAGTACATTTTATGTCACATCAATTATCAATAATATCACCCCCTCCCCTCCACCCTAGGCCAGCAACCGTTGTCCCCACCTGATTAAAACTGCATTTCATTTTGTTATTATATTTTTAATGCATTCATTTATTCGTATATCCCTAAACTAATATTTTGTAAGCAACAATTATTTAATTTTCAAATGTTTCCATTATGATTTCCTTTACTAATTTTTTTAATAGCAGCCCAGCGGACGCACAGGCAGCACTTGCCTATGTCTGCTGATTTTCTAAAAAAAATCAATGATGTTAGTACAGAAATTTTCTTTTTATTTTAGTTTTAGTTTATATTTTGTAATTGTAACATTAAGAAGTATGTATTTTGTATTCTGTATATTATGTGGAAAATAAACATATTATTTCATTCATTCATTTTATTCATTCATCAGAGAAAAGAACCAAAAACTAGAGGAAAAAATCAAATTTTGCACAGCAATCTCTGTGGGTGACTCATTCAACTAAGATCTATTAGAATAGAATTGGCTAAAGCCACTGACCTTTTGCTGGCCTTGACAAAACCAGGCTGGAAGATGTTCTTCACCAGAGTGGCCAACATGGTAACACTCTCCCCCAACAGAGGCTCCAGATACTTGGGCAGCTTACGACCAGTACCTGGCGCAACACGGTGAGACGCCGGGACAATCCCACGCTGCGCCACCTCAAAGTCACACTTCTCTACCTGCGGCAGGGTAATCATATAGAATTAGACACATAAAATGAGGAAACTTTTTAGGGTGCCAAGGTCAAGTCTGAGTTGATTTCAGCAAACAAATTCTCTCCACCTCAACTGTAGTGTCAGTACAGTGAAGTACCGACGTAGTTGTCAAATCTTCAAGCCAGTGGCAAATGCTTGCAGTGAAATGAACCATGAGTCTAAATAAAATATTAAGTTTGGTTTGAGATCTATTTTACTTTGTTGTTCGTGTTATTTCTAAAGTATTAGTATGTTTTTTATTTGCGACATGATGGCTCTGTAAGTATTTGAACGAGGTTTCATAGTATTTTAATGGCTTGTAAAATTACACCGCTATCTCACAGTATCCTTTAGACCTAAACATCATGTAAATCTTAATTTTTGCTAAACATGATACATTTTTATGCTCACTGTCCTTATTTAAAATGATTTTGAATCAAAAATGAACTATCAAGCGTATATCAAAGACATTGTGTTTGCATTATGTAAAATTTAATCTCCTCATACACGGGTTTAAGGCTGTAAAAAGTTTACTTGCTAACTTCACAAAAATTAACAGAGTTTCAAGATTCCAAAATTAGTTTAAACATTACTTAAAAAAAGATGTATTAATAAAAAATCGGACCCTCTTTGAAACCCACTTTCTTAGGTTCAGCCTGCCCAAAATGGATACCTCCACCAAAACTCTAACTTGAAAATTGGACAAAAACAATACTTTCTCCACATACTATGTATAGAGGGAGAAAGTAAAAAGAATCATTACTGAGAGTTGCTATTTCAAAAAGTAGTACAGTAGAGTCCCGTTAGTCCGAAATGGTTGGGACCGGGCCCATTTCGGATTACCGAATATTTCGGATTAAACGTTTTTTTTTTTACTTTTTTAAAATTTTTGAAATTTTTTTTTTACTTTTTTGAAATTTTTGAATTTTTTTTTTTATTTTTTGAAATTTTTTGGGATTGTTTTTTAGATTACTTAGACCTAGTGGCTGCAGCATTATCACTTCATAAAATCCATTTGTGATTTGGGGGGATTGGAACCCTGGACGAAAATAAAAAATGTTAATAACAAAAATTGTGAAATATTTACTAAAATACTCAACAAAAAAGTCTATCTTGCCCGGCCGCTACAGAATACTTTGACGAGATACAGCTAACTGTGTTAAAAGTTTAATAAACAAAAATTTAAAAAAAAATCCTAAATAATTTCCAAAAAATTTCAAGTTTTCAAAAAAATTTCAAAAGTTTTTAAAAAAATTTCAAAAGTTTTCAAAAAAAATTCAAAAGTAAAAAAAAAAAATTTAAAAAATTAAAAAAAAAAAATTAAAAAAAATTTTTAAAATTTATTTTTTTGGTTTCGGATTAAGCGGACTTTCGGATTACCGAAGTTCGGATTATCGGGACTCCACTGTATTTCATTTCACCTGAACCCTTCTTAGGTTTCAAATCCTTAACCTCTATTATAATTCCAAATATTTATTGCTATATTCATTAACCAACGATTGTTAAAGCGTAAAATCTATAGATCACCACATCAACGTCATCATGGGTCAATCAGTTACCTTGACATTGTCAGGGTCCAGCAGCAGTTTGCGGTTAGACTTGTATATCTGCGGGTACCGTCGCCGCAGCGCCTGTATCACAGCCTCAGAACACAGCGCCCGCAGGTCCGAGCCACAGTAGCCCACAGCCTTCTCTGCCAGGTGAGAGATGACGTTGGGTGCAGGAGGCTTCTCCCACTTACTCATGTGGATCTTCAATATCTCTTGCCTCTCCTGCAGAATACCAATAGAGTATAGAAACGTTTTACACTACAATCATCCTGTGTATTAGATTTATTGTCGGATTTTACAAAAATTCACTAAACTCACTTTACAAAAAAATTAATAAGGAGGATTAGACAGATAATTTATCCAGGAAATTAAGCAGTTTATTTTTTTATTTTTTTTTTGCCAGTGGCATTTTGAATGAAGCAAATAGCAATTAAAAATACTTTTTTCTAAAAAGCAAGCAGAACAAAAAGTAATTTTTTTTTATTTGCTGGATATGGAACCCATCCCTCACGGACACTGAAGTCTGAGAAAGGTCACTAGGCTGGCGATTGGCGACACGTCCAAAATTAACAGAAAAACTTATATTCCTTGTTAGGCTGATTGTTATAAAAATATCCTTAGTGATTTATTTATGTATCTGTTTCTTCTTCCAATGCATTCCTAAACCAAGAGCTTTTTTATTTAAAATATATAATTAGGGGAACATTTATACTTTCATATCCAAATATTTCTGAATGAATAATGAAGACTGATTTGCTACCAGTACCCATATAAAATGTGAAATTAAAATCAACATTAAATTTTTAAAATGTTCCTTATCAACTGAAGGTTAGAAAAAGGTGTAAATAAAGAAATAATTGCTTTAAGCTGCTTGTCTCACCCTGTTCCCAGGCAGAGGGAAGAGAAGTTCCCTGTCGAACCTGCCAGGTCGGCGCAGCGCCGGGTCGATGGCGTCGATGCGGTTGGTCGCGCCGATGACAACAATCTCTCCTCGGTCGTCCAGTCCGTCCATGAGCGCCAGCAGGGTGGACACGATGCTGGCGTGGATCTGATCTTGCTTGGCTGACCTCACTGGAGCCAGACCATCAATCTCGTCAAAGAAGATGATTGAAGGCTTCGCTTGATGAGCCTAAAAAATCAAAATCTATTAGTTGGCAGACATTACGTATCTCATGATTTGTAAGTTGTATTTGGACACAAAAGTTAGACATTGGGGTTATCAACAGTAGGCCCTCCCTACCTACAAAACAAAAATCTGTGTAAATTCTGGGAGATTACTGAAATTTTTTTAAGAATACTTAATATAGGCTATAAAAAAATGCAATATTTATGCTACAACAGCAAATTTAATGACATTAACTATGCCACTGTAATGCATAATTAGTAGTATAAGACTCATTTAATACAAAAGATACGCTGTTGTAAACTCTGACAAAAGACGACAGTCTCCATTGACTTTAAAAAGCACATCACAGTTAAAGTATAATGAGACTAGATTCTCAGCTACCTCTAATCTCACTCGTCAGGCTTAAAAAAGCTTTCAAACATAAATTAAAAAAAAAAAACAGATCAGCATGAAAATATTTTCAGATCAAGCTGTCATACTCGGGGAAACATTTACAAACTTCCGTAAGTTTTTGAGACATTCAGAAATCAGAACCCAACTGAAAAGACACCGGGAATATTTACAATGGGATCAGGATAACCAACAGCTTTAGACATCCTGAAATTGATTCTAAACAGAATGATTTTAATTTAAAGTCATATTTACATTGTTGGTAGAAGTCTACTAGCATTTTTACAGTTTAAAACTATTCAGTATGTACCTCTTCAAACAATAGCCTGAGCTGTCGTTCGGACTCCCCCACCCACTTGCTCAGACAGTCGGCTCCTTTGCGCATGAAGAACGTTACTTTGCGATCTCCCAGACTGCACTCATTGGCAAGGGCTCTAGCTATCAGTGTCTTACCCGTACCTGCACAAGAAAAACATCAGCTGCACACTTTTTCCATAATTTTTTCATCTGATTTTATGGTCTTCCTATTCAGTTTTAATTTCTCTTAAATTTAACACATACAATTAATTATTAAAACATGATTTTAGTAGGAGGGGTTGAATGTTGTAAGTTATGATTACTTTTCCTGAGAATCAAGAACTTTACTTGTAAGGTGGTGTTGGGAACTCAAACTACGATCAGGAAAGCTTGTCTGTAGGCCTATCCTATAGCCTATAGAAAAGTTACAATTTAAAAGATTTTTTTGGTGAGAAAGTCGACACAAACTTAAAAAAAATTGACATTATTTGATAAAGAAGGCTTTAAGCTAGGTTTTAAGGATTTTGTGGCGGGTAGGGTCAACAAGCTTTAACAACAAAAATAGTTGAGAGTACATAAACATATGAAACATAGTTTTTGTCGGAACCACTAGCTAGAAGTTCTGAAAAATTTCATGTTTCATGTTTTTATAAGTACTCTCAACTATTTCCATCAGTACAGATATCAATTGCTTGATTTTTTTGAAAATTTCCTACTAAAATCTAGACAACTTAACCCACCTGGAGGTCCATGAAAGAGGACACCTTTCGGCGGTGTAACGTGGTACTTCTGGAATATCTCTGCGTACAACATTGGAAAGACAACCATTTCTTGAAGACAGCGAACATGCTCCTCCAACCCGCCAACGTGAGAGAATCGGATAGAAGTGTCAAGGGAAACAGGATCTACATCAGCAAGTCTACCGCTCGCTTCAGGCTTTCCCCTCTTAGCATCTGCCTCCGCTCCAGCCAACAACCTATAATAAATAAATTAAATCAAAATGCCTTTATTTCCGAGCGACTTTCAGTACAAGAACTATTTTACAGAGTAACTCAGGTACAACTAACTTAAAAAATATACAATAATTAAGATACAAAATACAATGTGTATGACAAAAGAAGATTATAGGCTATATACCTACACACAACACAAGTAGTAGGAGAGGCTAGCGTATACTCATTCCGCTGTCAATTATTTTATTCTAGGTCAAGGCGGCTCGCTGCCAGTCGGTGGATATATTATTGTACACATAAATTTATTTTCTTTAAAATGTTTTAAATCAGTAGATTACTATTAGGCTACTCATCACCTCTATTACTCTTTCAATCATTTTCTTAAGGTTAGTATCATAAATGTTGGTCTCATTCATGTACAATTTTTTATTGTAGCCTAAGCAGAAAAAATTTAATGAGCAATGCTATGAGCCCTGGTAGTATTTACAACTTTAAAATAACAAACAAATTGTAATTACAAGTAGACATAAGCCACTAGTTTTACTATAACATGAAACAACGTACCGTGAACGAGATTTACTACTCTTGGGCTTCTTGCGGTCAAAACGACCTCGGTCATCGCTGGAGGAAGATGATGTTGAGGAGGAGCGACGATGTCGTCGTCTCATTGTCTCGCAAAGAACTGCACGGATGGTACGTGATGACTTTCGTCTCGGCTCCTCTGTGGGCATTACCAAACATGAGCAAAAATAGTTAAGATGCAAGAACAGTTTTGAGTTTAACCTTTAAAAATAACAATTTCCACAAATACACAATTTTGCCAAACATATTGACATACAAATTTATAATAAAATTAGTAGGTAGTAGAAAAAGGCTTTATTTTGTTTTTTATACAAGCAGGCTTACCTGAAGGCCTACAGTAGGTTAGTCTTTTTGCAACCAACTTTCTTACATTTCTTTGTGATTGCAAAAGTGTTCAGTGACCATGAAATATTTATATTTTGGGTGTGTAAAGTTTCCTACTAAGAAAACTTATGCACTGTACAAATAAGCCTACTCTTCCTATGAAAAACCTTATCAACAAAATCATAAAACTAGATAATTATCATTTTTACTACATAATAACACAACACTATGTAGTCTGGGTAGCAGAGTGGTTATAGTGCACGCCTTCAAATCTGAAGGTTGCTGGTTTGATTCCAAGCGAGATTGTTTCCAGATTCAGATACCATTTGTCAATGAATTAATGATGCTATCTAACAAAAAGGTTGACATTAGGTAGTAGCAAGACCATGGTGTGAAAACATAAAAAAAATGCCATTGGCATATATAAAATACAAAATAAATAAAATAAACATTACCAGTTTTACATTAAGAAATTGTTCAAAGTACCGTAGTTGTTAAAACTTTGACGCCAATTATTAGGACTCAAGATAATTTTCAACTGAGTGATTGTTACTTACCAACATGGGTTATCTGAAAGCGTTTGACGGTGGGCTTGGTCTCACGTAGATGATATTTCCGCTTCTGAACTCTTTCCCGATTTCTGCCCCGTGAAGGCGGCTCGTCTTCCGATGAAGTATCTGATTCCTCGGTTGAATTGTCTGTTTTGTAATATTAATTAGATTTATTTAGAATGGTAACATACCCAGCTCTGTGACTGTCAAGATATAATCTATTCTTACAGGCCTACAAAGTGAACGTACTTGGACTTTTATTGACAGGATATAGGACTGCCCCAAATCTAAATAGGCTCTATTGACACAGTAAAAAAATTACCATAGATTATTGAATGAGTTGAGTTATTAAATGCCAGTTTAGCTGATTTAATCATTGGGCACATTCAGTAATCCTGAATGGGTATAAGATTTTGTTGCACCAAAAAATCTTCTGTAGGAAGAGAGTGTGCTCAAAATCATACACAGAATACAAAAATACTGCATAATACCCAGAGTAACAGTCATTTTGATGTAGTTTTGTGTTATTTCCACTATAACCCCATGTAGTAACCCAATAAAAGTGTCCTTTTATAAAATATTTTTTTTTTTACAAAACAGATTTTGCCCATAATGAGGACAATGCAAATTTAAAAACGCTTAATATTAAAGGTTGAGATGTCAAGTAATCAGCTAACAGTCACATAGTTAACCTTCTAAACCAGAGCAAATAAAGATGTTTAACCCATTGCTTGAATCAAGCAAACAAACAAGATGTTACGCCTAGGCCTACATGTTTTTAATAATGGAAAGGAAATTTCACTCATAAAGCCAAAAAAAACATAGGCCTAAATCAAAATAAACATCTAAACGTACAATTGATTTTCATAAGTAGGCCTAATAACAACGGCAAGTCCAAACAGGGAATTTTGAAAATATGGTTGCTAATAACACCAGCATGATATATTGAGGGTCGAGAATATTGCAATGTTTACCTTGTCTCTGAATACACTTCCTTTCCTCATTTCTCCGGCGGTTGAGTAAGGTGCTATCGTAGATGGACCTTCGGGTCCTCTTCCTCTTCACTCGCGAGTACATGTCCATTTCCTCTATTCCGACGTCATTCTGTTCCCCATCGTGTTGCTGCTCTTCTTCCCCATCTTGTTCTACAGCTTTGTTGCAGTTTCTTCGTCGTTCACTTTTTCTTTCGGCGACCATATTACGAGCAGCGTTGCCTCCATCTTCTGTATCACCTTCTTCCGTGTCCTCTCCGGCTGTGGGAAATATAAAAGTGTATTTGAGACATAAATATTTAAATAAAAGTAATAACCCAATGAGAGCTTAAATTACTAGGGCTGTACAAAACAATGGTTTTAACACTAAAAGCCATACAAGGTTCAAGGCTGAATTACCAAAAACCGAGTAACAGTTAAGTTACTCAAGAGTTGTTTTAGAAATATTTATCCCAACCATTTTTATAATTTAGGGCAGGGGTATATAAAAAAGAAAATTAAAACTACTATTTATTCACAAAAGTTAAGTTAATTTTTGGGACAGAGATGATTTGCTTTTACAGTAAATCTTTGATAGTTCGACACTCCTTGTAGTTCGACACGGGCTGAGCTATTTTGTCAAGTGATATTAAATGGTTACTATTGTAATGTAAGCTGACTTTAACATTAATTTGTCATTTATTGTTGACTTGAGACTTAACTAATGAACAGTGAAATTGTTAAGCTTTTTAGTATTTTATAAATTTGGGTAATTTCTATATAAGACTTGTGTTTTTACTTTCCTGTATATTAAACTCCATTTACTCCTTATAGTTTGACATTTCGATTGTTCGACACCCCTTAAGTCCACAAAGTGTCGAACTATAGAGGTTCTACTGTTTTTATAGGCTACTTGTACATTTTCTTACCTGCTTTCATGTCTTCTTCTTCTTCTTCTTCTTCTTCCTCATCTCCTTCTACTTGTTCACATTTTATTTTCTTTACTAAAAAAACAAAATGTACCCGGTAATAATTAGGATGTGCAAATAACCTTCACACTACCTATCTAAAGACTATATTTTAAAGACATAGGCTAATAGTAGCCGATAGGCCAAAAATAGGGTACGGTTCAACCATGGTTGTAGAACCATTTAATAGGGTTTAATGGAGCCCCTCACTGAAGAGAAATTTGTTTCTAGGCCACCTCTTACAAAAACTTACTAAAAACTAACTATCTTTAGATTTAAAGTTCCATCATGTCTGCTATATTGTGTTACTGGTCTTCTTGTGCTAGTTTAATGAAATTGGTTAACTATTAGCTATTAAGCCTATTTGTTTAGATACATTTACAACATAATTTTTCTAATTCTTTTGAATTCAATTCTAGGTATTTTCTTCTAATGTTAATCAACTTTTGCGAAGCCAATAGGATTCACATCCAGTGCAACTAAAAAGAAATAGTTTTTCTGGCCTATTTCGACTGCTAAGTATTCTCTTAAGTTATCATTAGCCTACTTACCTTTCCACATGGATTATTGCACCCAAAAATATGTTTGCAGGGTTTTGTCTGTTATTATGATCTAGCTATGATTGTTTGATCTCACTATCTACAATTGACATTTTTTCATCAGAACGTCTGCTATACATGTTGCTTTCCACTTTATCAGTCTGAGTTTTAAGCGTCTCTCAAATAGATTTACTGCTATATTTAGCATATTATGTAGAAGTTGGTATGACAATGAGGTTTCAAGATCACCCTTGCCCTAGCTAGTGAATACCAGACATTGAGTTTTCCATAAAAAATAAACCTTCAATATGGCTCTACATGTACAAGCTAAACAATAACTGTGGGTATTCCCAGCAAACTATTCTCAAGCTGACTTACGTTGCCTAGTCGGGTACGGCGTGCTTCGGTAGACTTCCCGCAAGTCTTCATCGTAGTTGTTCTGAGGATATCCTCGGAGAGTCTGAGCCCCGACTATCCAACTGTCACTGTAGTTCTCATACTTGAGCTTCCTTTGTCTGGTACTTCGCCGGATACCAGCTGCGTCTAATCATAGAACAAAGGGCCATGTTAAATCCAATAGTAAACCAGTCCCAACTAGACAATAGACATGATGCCCATCTTTGACATTATTAGTGCAGTTTAATGTGTTGCTTGTATGAACAGTTTAAAAACGAATTGAGTAATCTCTTAAAAATTGTAGGATGGATGGGATAGTACTTTTAGTCCAGGACAAGAATTTTATTTACCGTACTTGTAGATTAGTTTGATTTCCTGATTTTTTGGGATGGAAATAGGATAGGATATTTCTTCCCGTGCAACAAGCGAAATGGAATCTGATTCATGAACTATGAAAGTTTATTGTTTGGCTGCATTATTATGCATTATGTAACCTCCTTATTTAGTTTAAATGCAGTTCCTTATTTACATGGCAAAACCCAACTCCAACAGGTTTAAATAAAATGAGGTCAATGGTCAATACATAAGTTTAACTCAATATACACAAAATAGGCTCATTGAATGTAAGCCTACTACGAACTTATAAAATACAGATGCAATAACAGATCGCACCTTCTTCGGGCACCTCCTCCTCATCAGGTGGACTTTTGGAAGAATGCCCGTTGACTGTTGAGCTGCTTCGGACCCTCTTGGGTGCCGGAGTGTGCATCTCACTTTCTGCGGGTGGCTCAGGGGAACTCAATCTTCTCTTTGGGTGACGCAGTCTGTAACCAATCATCAGGTTCAGGATGAGTTCAATGTTACAACAAACAGCTGATTTCAAAATTCAAAAATATTTTAACAGTTTCCTCCTCACCTTTAAGTAGGCCTAATTAAATTAAACCAGTTTTGTGTGAAAGTGTGTAGCCTTGTTTCCTGGGAGGGGAAATCGGGATGGATCCTGATACACAACTAAGTTACAAGGTTGATCAAGGTTGATCTTGGGGTCCCTCCTCAATTCTGGGTTTGCTTTTAGTGACCGCATTGCCCACTGTAAACCCATCTTCGCAAGATTGGGAATCCTCACAGTCTACAGCCATTATATCCTGGCTTGCTCACTACTGGTATATGACAATTACGACAATCTCCAACTCCGTTCAGCATTTCATAACCACCAAACAAGGCAGCACGAGCTACTGGATGTGCCTAGGGTTAGGCTTGCAAGATCGCAAAGGAGCTATAATACAGTGGCAATTCAAATTTTTAACAAGCTGCCTCACTCAATCAAGCGTCTTGGGCGTAAACTTTTCATGAAGAAGCTCGTCCCTCTCCTTAAGTCAAGAGCGTACTACTCACTAAAGGATTTTTTTGAGGATAGTTTTCCTGAATTGTCTGGCTAAACCGCATATCCACATGCCAAAGTTATTGTAAATATATGTTTGTATCTACTCAAATTCAGTTTGTTATTTTATGTATTTTTGTATATATTGAAATTCTGACGCCATCAATCCCTTATTGGGTAAAAGATGAAGACATGGTAATAGGTAATCTACATAGCTCACAACATAAACATCTTTTTCGAGTAAATAAACAAATACCAGTTCATTGTACTGACCAGCTGTTTCATTAACTAAATTGAATTAAATCATTTAAACATTGAAAGCATGCCAGGCGTATCCCTTTGGAAATCAGCCTGTGGGGCAGAGCCCTTAGGAAATTCGTCCATATCAATACTTTTCGGCAAATCTACACACTCTAAGCTTCATTTTGATGTGCCATATGCCTATATTTTTATTTGGTAAATGACCTTAACCGTTTACATAAAATTTGATTGTATCACTTTAATAATATAATAGATACCCTACACAGTTACAAACATGTTCATCTGACTTTTCTGGATGTTTAAAAAAACCTGACATTTTTGGGGTTTAAGTTTTTACTTCAGTTTCAAAATAAATAAATTTATCTTTGTTCTAATGAAACCCCCAGTCTGTTTTTGCCTGATTTTCTGAGATTTATTACTTTGTTATTGTTTATTTGTTAAAACATCGTATATGCCTACTAAGTTATAGGCTATCCAAAGTTTTAGGCTAACAAACTACAAAAAATGTACATGTATGAATTTATATTTAAGGCTACGTTTAAACATGCAGCCTGATATGGAACGTTACCTTCGGGAAGAGCGAGCAGCAAAAATATGGTCATCATCATCATCTGATTGGCTTAGCGTGTAATGCTGGCGATTTGTAATTGCCATTCGACAGCTACGCATGTGACGTCCTGGGTTGACTGTAACAAATACAAAATGTCATCACAAAAGGCTTTACTCAATGTACTTTAAATAACTTACGGTAGATTTTGTTGTTGGTGGCAATAACTTAAAATTCAAAATCTGTATAAGTTAGGCTTAAGAATTGATGTAAGACTACACCATAACATTGATAAATACAGTAACCTAGGACTAATCTCCATTTTGAAGGTCCTGGATAAGGCTGGTGTAGGTCAATCTCAATTTCATATTATTTATTATTATTTCATATTTGTTAATAGCCTATTTAATTATTGATCACACTATAACTAGCCTATTTCACTTAAGTCACATTTAATTTTTATCAATCTCAAATCAACTTTCTTGTAAAATGGTGTTTGCCGTGCATGTAAGTTAATAAATAAATAAATAAAAATCTACACTTTTAAGACAACACCTTTTTATGTATATTTCCAGATTTTTTTTATTGTTGACACCATTTCTAAGCTCTAGGCCTACGCTTATGTAATAAAGATTCTCTCTCTCTCACCTTAAAACATATTTTTGGCTCTGTAGAAAGTGGAAATAAAATCTATTTAATATTAATATCTTTTAATAGCATTTGAAAGTTAACTTGTACTTTGTTACTTTTAGTTTAACTTGTGTAAGGTAGGACTAGCCCTCTGTGTAGGCTATAACTTTGGCCTGCCAAAAATATATGTTACTGAAACATCTATTACCTGCGTCTAGTCTAAATAATAAATAAAAATCAAAAATAGACACAGCCATAAAATAAATTTATGTTCAAATAACTTAGGCCTAGGCCCTTGGCATCAAAATGATTCAAAGTCGTAGGCCTAGGTCTAATGTAGACCTATCCTACAGACCACTAAGGGGTGAAAATAACTAAGTTAGTTTGCCTACTTATTACCTTCATTTGTAAATCTCAAGCTCCTCTTTTTGCTTGCGATCACAAACCGATTTCTAAGCTCTCTGCTGTACAGTTTAGTCCCTTTGGCAGAGAAATCGGAGTTGTCTTTGTCCGACAGACTGAGGCTTTCAACGTCCTAAAAGAGGAAATAAAAGTTATAGATTGAAATTTCATGTATTAAACTTATATTTTTAACAACTCAAATTACTGACAAACTGCTATTTACAAACATAAAAAGAATAAATATCAGTATTTTAGCGTTAAAATGGCCTCAGGAAAACGAAAAAGATGTGGTTACGATCAGTTGCGAGTGACTCACCCTTGAGACTTCTGATTTATCCTTATGAGAATTCTTTACTGGCATTTTTGACTCTGTATCTACATTAGAACGTTTCCTAACCATTTTTACACGGGTATCAATAAACTGTTCATTTTACAAAACGACTAAATGTTGAAAGTCGCGACAGTATACCAATTCTATACTTCTTACGTCAGGACCGCCATTAAATTGTCAGTTAAGAAGTATTCATTCGTATCATTCCTCCCTCATTTCGTATCGCATCGCAACGGGGAAGGGAAGGGGGCGACCGGGCAGCAGAGGCGATTGGATAATGCATATTTCGTTTCGTGATTTCTGTGTCCTCCATCTGTGCGAGCATATGGTTGATTTCCCGCCTTTGGCCTTGGGAAGAGTAATTTTATTTACCTAACCCGCCATGTTAAACTTCCCTATCCCAAGAGTGATGTATACAACTTCCTTACTTCTCGAGTGATGTAAAGTTGAAAAAAACTCACTCGGTGATGTAATGAAACCCATTTAAATAACATTGAGTGGATAACTTAAAAAATATACCTCTATGGAGCCAACGACGTTCAACGCTAGAAATCAGCTGTGTGTTTGAATTTTATTGTTATGCTTTGAAGAATTTTCCTAACCTAGCTTTTGTTTGTAAATGAACGTTACTGTCACGGGTCACACTAGGCTACTCGTCAGCCGATGGTGATCAGCAGCTGGCACCAGCATCACCGGCTCACCAATCCAGGCTGAGTCAGCTCAGTGTCAGCTGCGAATTTTGTGGTCACATTAAGCTGACAGTCGCGGCTTCTTTCAATTCGCCGCTGATGCCAGCCTAGTGTGACCCGTGCTTTTAGAAGATGAGTGAAATTGACAATGAAGCATATTGCTCGTAACCTCCTGAATATTGTCGGGTCAGGTAAAATCTTGTACGTTACACGTTACGCAAGAGCGTGTTTACATCACTTCGGTGAATTATGCAACTCGCCTTCGCTCGTTGCACAACATTCACCTGCGTGATGTAAAAACGCTCTTACTACACTTGTAATGTAAATAGCTATAATAATTGTACTGGTTTTGTTGGATTGTAATAAAAAATACTATATCAATGATTATGTAGATAACATTTTGAATTTAAAAAGTTCCTTCGTGATAATTATGACTGGTTGGATCGCCATGTGGTTATAGTTCTTATTTATTTATCTATGCCCAACGGCAAATTGACAATTACAATGTGTTATTATTACAAATAAAATTTGTTATCGTGTATTTTAATTAGCAATTTGTTGTTAGTGCTTGACTAACAAACAAAAGGTCACCGGTTCGGGGCTTGATCCTGTAAAAGTCAGTAGCTTTTTGATGGTTCGAAACTGGACCATGACTGGACCCAGCTGTTTCTGTTCATTGGGCTTTAATTAAAGTGATCATGATTCATGTCTAATGAAACACATCTGATCTTCAGTAACAAAGCAAATCTCATTTCACATCCTATTATCATCCTTCATCATATTTGATTACGGTCCTGGGTGGCATCTCCATCTCAATTATTAAAAATTGATTGAACAGTACCATACTCCCTTATGACAATACCAAAGGTGGCCGTGACAGTACACCGGACAACCATTACCATTACCATTTATAATTACTATAATCAAACGTAATTGTAAGTAACTAAATAAAATAAACCAGATTTTAAGTCTGATATGTAGGACCACCCATTTCTGAGTAAATTTATATTCCACTTAGTACTTTTTCAAGTAAATGTATGTCCATAGTTATACGACGATACCAAGATCATTTCATTACATTATGTCGAGTCATTTTGCATTTTTACAACATTTTGTAATTTTTCTTATGACGAGACTGATAGCATGTAATTGTTGAATGGTCAAATAAATTCTTGACTAGTGGTGGAACCCCGTCGAAATCGACGGTTTATCTTGAGGTTTTATGTAAATTCAGCTAACTGCGATAGATAGAGTGAAGTCATTAAAATCTTAGTTAAATGAAGGGAGGATAAGCAATAATAAGTATGACGATTGTGTTCCCTAAAAAACGTGATTGATGAATTCGTTTAACACAAAATGTCCTACCTTTTTATCGGCTTTAGGTTGCCCAAAAGGTTTTTTAGGAGTCTTATAATTGTTTGTTCATGGGTTTGTTTCATGTCAAAGCCATTTTCACCATATGGGAGAAGGAGTTCATATAATTAGTCTATCATGTTACGGAAAGAGTCAATATTACTAACAACTAATTCCATCTGCTTTAGGAAAATCATTCAGATTGTATCCGGATTTGTAAGTAAATCTTTATCTTTGGTCATAAAAATACAGAATTTTATCAGCATATTAAATTAGTTTTTTTTTGTATTTGATAAAAATATCTGATTCTCCAGAAAGCAGTAACATTCTTACTTCGATCTAAGCAATTTTAATTCCTTCTCTTGCCACATCGACCCATGTATTTAATCATCCTTTCTTACTTGATAATTCGTTACCTTGGCCATATCGATCACATAAAGCTGTGCATGTATTTCGTGGATGGAATGTACCGTAATTGATGGAAATTTGATCACAAATTTTGAACATTTGCGGAACCAAATCCAAATGTAACATTTAATTTTGACAGTTTTAGTAGACCTTTAAATACAATTTTAATATTAACAGCTGGTTCATTAAAAGTAGTGTAAAATAATTATCCATATGGTCTTAATGTAAACAAAATTGCAGAGTGAACTTTAAAAGCCTCTGGGGCAGAGCCCCAAGGAAATTTACCTTGTTTCTCTTTTGAGGGCTCACCTACAGACCAATAACTTTCTTTAGACACCCCTACCAGGTTTTTACGCCCAGCCGTTCTCTCAAATTAGCTGTGACAGAAACCCCGTTTTCCTCCATAAGAATAACATGGGATGGGAATTTAAAGGCCACTGGGGCAGAGCCCCAAGGAAATTTACCTTGTTTCTCTTTTGATGGCTCATCTACAGACCAAGACCTTTCTTTAGACACCTCTACCGAGTTTCTACGCCCAGCCGTTCTCTCAAAATAGCTGTCACAAAGAAAAACAGTTTCAAATTAATATATAGATTCTAACGGAGTATGCTTAATCTATGATTGTAGTCTATTCTTAAATCAATAAAAATAAGCTAAAATTCCAATTAATTTCCACCATGAGGCATCAACTAGTTGAGACATCCTATAAAAAATAGCCGTAGCCTTGGTAATGTAAATGTATTAAATAATCAGAGTAGAGTCAGTGCATAGATTAATCACACAAAAGGCAAAAGGTAAATAATCATCTATAGTCAATTGTCATTGTGAAAGAAAACAGCTGCATGCCAATAATTCAAACTGAGTTTGGACAAGAAAAGTTAAAGTTTTTGATATTTAAAAAAAAAAAATAAGATCTTGAATTTAGAGATGGGAGAATCGAGTACTTTAAAGAATCGAATACAGTGAATTCGTAGCCTCCCCTGTATTCGAATACTTTTACGAATACTTGTATTCAAACACCTTTGAGTATGCAAAGCATGGAAAATGAGTGTGTAATTCTTTTAGCGAATTTCCCATATAGGGAATAAGCTATTACCGTAGTACTCATGGTAAGACCTGGACGCGGGACCGATTTTTTTTTTTCGTTTTGAGGTCCCTAGAGGCCAAAAACACCATCCGTTCAAATTCATATATATATATATATATATATATATATATATATTTATATATTTATATATTTATATATATATATATGTGTCCGTCAGCACGATAACTCGAGCAAAAATGATCCGATTTGGATGAAATTTGGTACAAACGTGTAAACGTACGTTTATTCGAACGAGTTCGCGATCCAGCATGATCGGACCATGGGAACGGGGGTTTACGGGGGGTTTTATGGGGTAAAAATAGGTTTTTCCTATTTTTGACCCAAAAAACAAAAAATTTAGCAATTTCTTTCCAAACCATTTTGTAGAGCTTAAAAAAACAAATAATTTAGTATATTGAAGCGTTATTATGCGCCTAATAGTTACGGAGAAAATTCCGAAAAATTGTAAATTTAAAATTCCCATGTTATTCTTATGGAGAATAAGTAAACTGTTGTAGTTTGCTTGTTTGTGAACATATTTTGATCAAATTTGGAAAATGTTTTTATTTCTCACTACCTATTCACATTTTACAAAAAAAAAGTTTAACCCTCCCTGATGCAGCAAACCTAAGTACTTGTTAAACTAATTCTATTTAAATCAAGAATAAATGTTATATTTTTAAGTAGACATTTCAGTGTAAATCCAATCAGTCAAATGGAAATTCGCTTAGTCTGCAGGTTTGCTGCAGCGGGGGTATTTTCATAATGCAACGGTTCTTTTGGCCACTGTTATTTCGTTTTACAGTAATTAATTCATTAATATAATTTATTCAATGTAATTTTAAATTATATGATTTTTAAAAGGTACATTTATTTTGACTTATAATTGAGCGGAGCGAGCGAAGCGAGCGAAGCTCTTTGAGATCGGACCTTATGCAAACTATGTAATCAATTAACTCAATAACGGCTGGACATATTGAATCCAAACTTACCAGGGGTATTACGACAAATATTTTTGATGTTTCGAAACAAACAAATTTCAAATTGATAATACCTGTACAATTTAAGACCGACATAAAATTTGCAATGTTTAACATGAGTCTTATGAGTTGCCATGATGGTTACGAGATAACAACGTAGATGTAAACAAAGAATCGTAGCGTATGTGACTCGACATTCTGTACCCACGGGCACCTCAGCTTGCACATGCACATATGGCCAATTTACAAAAGACAGTACAAAAGAAAAGGAGTCCGATGAATAACATTAAGCGTTGATTAACAATACACCGATTGGCAACATTTCTGGCGGCCTTACCGATTTATTCCAAGCAGATTATTTCTTTTAATTGTTGTTATTAGTTTTGTGGTAAATATTAGTCCGGAGTGTGGTAACTGTTTATGACGATTAGATTAAGGTATCTACAATCTTAAAATGCTATGGGAAGGGAGGAAAACAGGTCCGAAACGTAGGAAGTGGTAAAGAAAGTAGTCAAGGCGAGCAGTCCGGAGTGTGGGAACTGTTTATAAGGATTAGATTAAGGTATCTGCAATCTTAAAATGCAATGGGAAGGGAGGGAAACAGGTCCGCGACGTAGGAAGAGGTGAAGGAAGTAGTAAAGGCGAGCACTGTGGAGTCTGGGAACTGGAAACCAATTGTAACAGTTCGATTTCTGTATCTGAAATTGAAATTCTGAAATGCTATGAGATGGGATGGAAAGATGTCCAAGACATAGGAACTGGTTAAAGAATTAGTAAATGCTAGCAGTGCGGAGTGTGGGAAATGTTGTTGGCAATTAGATTAATGTATTTAAAATACTAAAATGCAATGGAAAGAGATGACAACACGTCCACGACGTAGGAAGTAGTAATGTTTAGCATCGCAGAGTGTGGGAACCGTTTGTGGCAGTTAGATTAATGTATCCGTAATACTTGAATGCTATGAGAAGGGAAGGAAACAATGACGTAGGAAATGGTGAAGGAAGTAGTAAAGGCTGGCATCGCAGAATGGGGAATGATTTTGTCTCCAGGTGCTTAGTTTATAAACAGTAAAAGAGAGTATTCAAATTGAAAACTATAGAAACTGTATTACCGAAGCAGGAATTCATTATTTTCAAATATTATTAACGGTAGCCTATCCTAAATAAATACAGTGATTTGCTGGGCTTGCACACTAAAGTCCAGTTGCGACTACAATAAATAAATAATTACCTAAGATTTTATAGAAGTCCACTTAAACTAAGGCGTGTAAATAATTGGTTAGGCTTGAACAGTTACGATTACGATGCGTAGGCCTAATGCCTAGACTGCTAGGCCTATACAGAAGTTCAGTTATAGCTATTTATTATAATTAAATATTTAACTAAACTTGTTAACTTGTGTTGTCCAATTTATAACTTATAAGTGTGGAAGTAATTTTCTCTGTGCAGGTATACAGACACAGTTACAATTACACATGCCAATGTTGTAAATATATGTTCAGTAATTTATGCCTGTTTGTTTAAATGTATATATTTTTTATTTGAAAGTCTGACGCCATCAATCCCTTTTGGGTAAAAGATAAAGATAATAAGGTAATAATTACAAAAAGTAGAGCCTAGACTGCTTGGCCTGTACGGGAGTTTAGTTATAAAATTAGCTTGATATAATATTCCTATTTTTTTCCGTAATACTATAAGATGAATTATTACAGCTAACAGAACAGCATGTTGGCATTTTTATGTCAGGTTGGAAATTTAGTACAACCCAATAAATAGGCTTTACATCAACACAGTGCAGGTTCTCAAATTAAATTGCCATAGTCTAATATAAAAACGTCTTTTATATATGATTTTAATAATTTTGTTGTACAGTAGTTTATTATGCATATACAGTATTTTACTTAATCATGCTGTAATTTAGCATGAGGAATAAATATATTCTTGTTTAATTAATCAATTCTATATCCAGTGCCGTCTTTAAAATCTAATCTATTTATTGAGTACAGTAGGCCTATTTTGGCAACGGGGTGGAGCTAGCACAAACATCACCAATTCAATGACACTAGCGTCGCGGCAACCACCATCTTTTTCAGGGCATCATCAGCTCGTGAAATTAGCCACGCCTTATTTCCTGTGGTTACCATTGACTATGGTATTGCTATATATAGTCACCTTCTTCTGTCATTCTGTTCGCTGAGCAAAGTTTACTAATTGGCTAAATGTTTTAGTTAGAGAAAATGAGAAGGAAGCCTATAAGCCTATTACATAAATGGGAGCTAAACAAACATTATGATATTGACAAAATAATACTTATCTTTATGCTATTACAAACACACAGTTTTACAAGTACTCATAGTACTTGTAAAACTAACTAACTAAATCAGCGACAAGTACTCATATATACAAGTAAAAATCAATGACCTAATAGAAACAGCTGACAGGATTCATATTTCCTTTAAGGCCGTCGACACACGGGAAAACTGTTTTCCAACTGAAATCGGCAACCAGTTGGACAAACTAGTCGCCTACGTCCCGACCAATGTAGTTAGGTGGGACAGTGCACACGGTGCGACTGCGATGCGACCAGTTGAGGACCAGTCGGCGATCAGTCGTTAAGCAACCGGACCTGCCGGTTGCTAGGCGATTTCAGTCGCCTGGTTTGAACAACTTTTCAACATATTTGTATTGCGCTTTTCAAGGATCAGGTATACCAACTGCGATAACTCTTCGTAAGCACTTTTTGGCATCCCGTACATAGACTGAAATTTTGCGTCTGTTTCTTGTAATGCAGCAGCAGCTACAAAGAGCCTACATTAAATATTTGTTTTAACATAAGGATGTACCCAACACCTTCTACTCTACGCTTTCGTGATTGTTTATAAAACACCAGGGCTTCTTCATCACTATAACTCATTTCAAACACCATACACAGTACACAGTATCGTTATAACAAAATTACAACTCATTCACTGTCTCAACTCAACTACAGTCGCGTCCGTGTGCGGATTTAACCAACGCAACTGCAACCGTAATCACGTCACAAAACAGTTGGTTCAACTTTAGTTGGGTTTCAGAACGTTTACGTCCCTTCAGTAAATTGACTGAGTTGGGCGGTCCCGTGTGTCGACCGCCTAACTCTTCCACCCAAGCACGAGAATTCATCATGTATTCAATTTGAATCATGAAAACAAATAATTAAAGTTATTTGTTTTTATCAAAGCTTGCTTACTCCGCCCAATTGGCGGACCTGAGGCCGCATTCCTAGTTATTTCATGGTCAGTTACAGTCTTATTAATGTATTATTTTCTATTATATTAACTAATTAATATCTTTAATAATATGTCTTATTCATTTGTATGGATAATTTACATCAGATATGCATGTTATTTTGCCATGTAACTATATAAATCGGTTGTAGTTATAATAAATTCTATTCAATTGCCCTCTACCAGTAGTAACCTAATATTTTAAATAGGTATCCAATCTATATATATAAAAGGCAAAGCCCTCACTGACTGACTGACTGACTGACTGACTGACTGACTGACTGACTCACTCACTCACTCATCACTAATTCTCCCACTTCCCACTTACCTAGGAGGCTGAAATTTGGTACACTGATTCTTTAGGCATTAAATAGGAAAACTAAGTGGTTTTTATTCTGATCGGACTCTCGGGCTCCGCCCCAGTGGCTCTGGAGTTTCCCATGTTAACCTAATGAGTACTCATATTTAAATGGAATTAATGAATCATAACAGCTGTTTCAATTAAACAGGTTGGTTCTGTTCTATGATATTCAATAGCATTAAAGTTACAAGGATTACCAACAGAGTGCAGCACTATTATTTTTTTTAAATATTTGACAACAGCTAATTTGAAACCAAAAGGTGAGTGAGCGTAGCGAACGAACTTCAACCCGGAGGCGAGGTAGCGTAGCGAACGAGCTAACCCGAAGGCAAGTGAGCGCAGCGAACGAGCTCCAACCGTAAAGGTGAGTGAGCGTAGGGAACGAACTTCAACCAGGACGTGTGAGCGTAGCGAACGAGCTCCAACGTAAAGGTGAGTGAGCGTAGCGAACGAACTTCAACCAGGACGTGATTGAGCCATGCGAACGAGCTCAAGTATGAAGTTAAACGGGGCAAAGCCCGCGGGTACAGCTAGTATATTCTAAATGTGTTAACGATTAATAATAATCTTATGTAAATTATAGGGCTAATGGTAAAATTATAACAAATAGATGAAAACAAATGCTGCAGTAAAAACATTAAATACTCTTACGAATGCTACGGATTCGTAAGATATTCAAAAGGGAATTCAGTAGTTGAAAAAGTGTTGATTACATTTTTGAATCCCCCGAATTTGCTTTCTAGATTCAAGAAATCCTGCAAAATCTGAGGTCAAGAGTATTCACAAAAAAGTATTCGTACGAATCTGAAGTATTCGAATCTACGAATACTCGGGCTGTATTCGAATACTATTCGATTCTGTATTCGATTCTCCCATCCCATCATTATCATTCACTACTTGAATTCTTGATTCTTGAGAAATGTTTGATTGAGGTTAAGCTTTGTATTATTTTATTTTTGTTTCAAATCTTGTCGCCTTGTCGGTAATGTTCGTCACCTAGGTCTCATATTGTTTCATTCTTTAGTTTAGGTTAAGCAATTTGGAAAGCAAAGTAAGTAGACTACTTGTGTTTGTGTAGTTTGTCATTTGAATTGTTTTGTTATACAAAGTGGTAGTGGTAGGTCGATGTTGTAAGCTAGATAAGATAGGCCTAGGCCTATGTTTAACTTGTTCAATAAAATCTTCACTGAAAGTAACCTATGTGATGGGAAATTTATAAAGCTAATCTAAATAGTGATGAGTATGTCTAGGCCTACTACTTAATCTCAGTGAATAAGTTAGGCACACTTTAGTTTACGTCCTACATTTACTCACATAGGTACTGCAGTTTGGTTAAGGTTGCCTAGGTTTAGTTTAGAACAGTTTAATTCTATAATCAGCCGGTAGTTAATGTATAATTTATAGGCAAATAGTAAATGTAGGGCGTAAACTAGTGATGGGACAACCGACTGGAAAAAACAATCGACTAATCAATCGGTTGTTTTTAAAATCAGTCGTAGTTTTTTTTCAGTCGAATGAAAAACTGAGTGAATTCCATTACAACTGGTGGTGTTCAATCGGCGCAATGGTTAAGTTACAGTCATTGCAAGGAAAATAATCAAATCAATCACATTAACTTATTACTGGAAACGTTTGAGTAGGCCTATTTGTTGTTGACTGATTGGTTGTTGTAATTTTGTGTTGAAATTTTATATGTATTATTACTTAACCCTCAGAGTGTTATGTGTCGTAAAAGCGACTCACAAACACTGTTTACGGCGACGGCTCTGGGACTGTCTGAATCGGATTGAACTGGGTCGAGTTAGGTATAATTTTTTTCAGCAGATTCAGAGCTTTCTCCTGATGTCTGTTTCTATACACTTTTCATTTTAGTTCCGAAAATATTGTAGCAGACAGCTGATGTGCGTATTTGTAAACAGCTTGGTTAACCTCGCACGATGACTGATGTGTTTTATTGCGTTTATCATTGTTTTAGTGTTAAAAATCAAAAGTAGTGATATACGTGGTGCATTATAAGAAGATTTAAGTGATTTTGTTGTGATTTTGATGATCCTGAAGAAGTAACTTAGGTAGTGATATTGATGTAAATTATCAGCAAGATTCCTAGCTATTAGGCTATGCATTCTTAGTTAAACGCTATGTACCGAAATCGGTTTTTTGCCCATAACTTATTTATTTGCAAACCTACTTCCTTATATAATTATATTTTTGGAATCCTCATAAAATTCTGAACAAAGTGGCTATTTTAAAATATTTGTAGACCTATAAATTATAACAATTTATTGAGCGCAAACATAAATTTTTTTCATTTATTTTATAATTTTTGAGAAATGTTAACCCTACAAAAATTGTTGAACATTTTTTGTTTTTTGTTTTATATGTTACATTGAAGCCCATAATTTTCCAAACAAAATTATATATAAAACAGTAGGTATACTTTACATTGTTTTTAAGTTTCTATGATACATTTTAATAAAACCCTGCGATTGCACAATAAATGGACCAACATTAAGACCAAAACTAGAGACACTTGGAGGGTTTATAACATTTACGTTTACTTATACAGGACAAGTTAAAAATTATTCAGTGGTCCTACTTCCTCAAACTAAACTCAGTAAAACAAATACCGGTATTCCTATTTGTTCGTTACCTGGTTATGGTTTTTAAAGCAGGTGTTACTGTAGGGCCTATAAGTCATTTAACTTACATCTAAATCAGGAGTTACTTACTTAAAAAACAGTGATTTGGAAACTAAACATTTTTAATAAAGACATGAAAAATACACATAATTACATTATTTTAATTTATTATACCTAAACACTGTTCACAATTTGTGTACAGTACGATAGTTTATCTACAACCGTTATTCATTCACCGGTCAGTCTCAACAACAGCCAGTATGGTTCTTACGACTAGTTTCAATCACCGACGTTTGACTGTTTCCAGTCATTTTAACGATTGGTTGACTTGTTCCAGTCGCCGTAGGACCGGGAGTATGAAGTGACTAGTTTCAATCATATCTTTTCCAACAATCAATTGAATAGTTTGTTTTCAATCAGTTGTTGTTCCCATCACTAACGTAAACTAATGTGCAACCATAAGGTATTTTATTCGATATGCCTATTTATATAAAATCTAAGTCTAATTCCGGAACTAATATTTCATCCGCCGTTTACATAGAGGGTATATAAGTTAAAGGCCTACCGTAGCTTCACTGAGGGAATGCACCTCCTGATTTATTGATAAGTATTCAAGTAAGTTAGGCCTACTTTATAATTAAGTTATTTTAAATGAATTAATCTTTATGTGATTGTTAAGTTTTTGCTGCAATTTTTAAAGAATGAATGTTCATGGGGTAAAGTTTCTTAATTGGGCTACCTATGATAATATCGATTGAAACTATCAATTCATTTTTTAAACAATTATCAATTATCAATTATCAATTATCAATTAGTTAAGATGGGGACGCCACTATGTGCGTATTTTAACCCAAATATGAGTGAAGGATGAGTGTAGGATGAGTGGCGCGATCTTGTAGTCTTGTTAGTGACTAAGGCCGACATGTTCCTTAGACACAGCTGTTAATTAATAGCCCATACAGCTAATGGCAACTAAGGGACCTACAGTTTATAGTGGAATCCGAACCACATTTTTCCTTGTAATTTACGAATTGGTCTAATTATCAGGATAGTACTGCGGATAGTCGTAGTACTCACTAGTGCGGACGTTAATCCACACCAGGGAGCATCGCATCCACAGTGCATCCCTATAAATATCCACAATTCGTGACCTCCTAGTAGCTGGATTACAGGACGACGCCACCCGTCCCAGTCATAATGTATTAAAATATTATCATAATGTATCATAATGTATCATAGTATTAAAATTATTGTTTAAAATAAGCACAAAAAATGAATTTAAAATTTTGAAAAATTTAACATGGATATTATGAGTTGCCATGCTGGTGACGAAATAACAACGAAATAGGCGCTTGTAAATTTGAATATTCGCTTGAAACTCCGATAAAGAAAATCGGTAAAAATAAAATTTTTCATCTCATAAGTGCTAAGGAACGGTATATCGGGCCTCCATCTCCATCATATCAGGAATCGAAAGAAAACATCAACTGTTTGGAAACAACAACCGATGTACCCATTTAAACTCACACGATCGAAAGTTGCGTAGGCACGATATATCGTCGCTTAGCACTTTTTGGATGAAACGCAAACAACGATATATCGTTCCATAGCACTTTTATGAATCCGTAGCATTCGTAAGAGTATCGGTATTTAATGTTTTTAATGCAGCAATTTGTTTTTACCTACTTGTTATAATTTTACCATTAGCCCTATAATTTACAGCTCTTAATAACTGTTTAAAATTATTAATCGTTAACATTTAGCCTATATTGGCTATTTAAAATATTAGGTTACTACTGGTGGAGGGCAACACCTGCTTTAAAAACCATAACCAGGTAACGAACAAATAGGAATACCGGTATTTGTTTTACTGAGTTTAGTTTGAGGAAGTAGGACCACTGAATAATTTTTAACAGTAAACATTTTATTATTAGCTAGTCAAAACAAAACAACTCATTTAAGCCGTTGATATTTTTAGGGATCTTATTTAAATTTGGTTAAAAAGATAACACGATTAAGTAACAAAGGTTATCTGTTAGTGATAAAAACCAGAAATCAAATTATTTATCATAGATATTTTTGTTACAGCACCCTACGGTTGCATAGTTTTTAGTGTTTGTTATTATACAGATATAAGTTAATTAATTTTTGAAGAAAATTATCCATACAGTAGCACTATGGTAGATTTTAGAGTTTGTCTTCTCCTCCTCATATTCAGCACATAATCCAAGATAATCCAACAACATAAATCAAATCAAATCATTTATCTAGCCAGAATTTTAACAATACAAGTTTCATAGCTAAGTCATATAAAATGTGAAGTTTTAGTTAACCTCTTAAATTAGCTTTTGCATTTTCAGATCTAAATCACAATGAAAGACCTTTCAAGATGCCTGTGCATCTGCTATCAGATCGGCCTGTTGTCTGCTCGACCTTCTGTCAATGTGGTGAGACATTCCTCAACAGTCGCTTCCAAAGCTCAACTGAAAGACCAAAACTCTACCATTGAAGTTAATGGCCGTGAATACAAAACTGACGACTTAACAAATTTAACTCCAAAAATCAAATCTCACCTTGGAATCAATCTGCTTAACCAAAAATATCATCCTCTTTCTTTCTTGAAGCAGAGAATCGTCGATTATTTCTACAAGAAGTTCATCGGACGAACTGGCACTCCGATTTTTTCCGTGCATGATAATCTGGACCCTGTGGTCACAGTGCAGCAGAACTTTGACAGTTTGTTGGTGCCGGCAGATCATGTAAGTCGAAGCAAGAGTGATTGCTACTACATCAACAGAGACTACTTGCTGAGGTCGCACATGACGGCACATCAAGCCGATCTCGTCCACATGGGACTCGACAGCTTCCTCATGTTCGGAGACGTCTATCGTCGAGATGAGATAGACTCTACCCACTACCCTGTATTCCACCAGCTTGATGGTGTACGACTTTTTCACCAACAGCAGGTCAGTGAAACTACCAGCATCATGAATACCTATATTTCTTGGTCAGAGCCATGTAATACAAGTTAGACTTACTCAGATGACTTTAAATAAATAGGCTAAAGAGTTAAAAACAAGTTGTTGTGTCAGGCAATGCCAATTTCAGCGAATTCCCCATGTATGTAATAAGCTACGTAGTAGAACCTCTTTAATCTGAACTAATTGGGACCGGGGGTAGTTCGGATTACAGAACATATTGTTGTTTTTACATAAGAATAGCTAAAATGGCTCTTAACTGTTACAGGAAGAGTGAAAAATTAGAATTCATTTCCTACTACTGGAACGTTAGTTATTAATAAATAATAATAATATTACCTTCTTCCGTTCCAAATGATTGTAGTTATTTACGACGCGTTTCGTCAGCACAGTGACATCATCAGGTATCCGCTATCCAAAAAGGTATCGCTATTCAAGACGAAGCGATAGCGGATACCTGATGATGTCACTGTGCTGACGAAATGCGTCGTAAATAACTACAATCATTTGGAACTGAAGAAGGTAATATTATTATTATTTAGTGAAAAATTGCTTTATAAAGTATAATACAGTGTTTATTTAATACAGTAGTAAACTGAGTAAATAAACAGTAAGTTACTGTAAATTACGATGGAAACAATCACGTTGCGTACGTACACAATAAATAACTACTGTATTGTGTATAGAGTACAGTTCAATGAGGCATTGTGATTACGGGGGTTCGGATTAAAGAGGTTCTACTGTATTAGCGTCTACCAGTTATATCTAGACCCGAGACTGATTTACTTTTTTATTTTTATGTCTCAGCCAAAAACGTCATCAGTTTGGGTCCAAATATATTTGTTTGTCCTATAGAATGATAACCTGAGTAAAAGTCATTTGATTTTGATAATTTTTTGTACTAACATGTTAACCAAAATATTGAAGCAGAGTATGCCTGTATTATACCATAATTTTGCTATCATAAAAATTTTGAATTTGGGGAAATTGTTAAGGTTATTTTGTTTTGTAGTAGGTCTATATTCAATGTTTAAAATCATTTTCCCAAATAAATTAATGCAAGTCTTAGATTCCATTTTAAAGTTCAGTTTGGCTCTTAATTACACAGAATGACTAAATTTCATATCTCATAAGCTGATATCAGCATATTTATTCATCTCTATCATTATTTAAACTTGTTGAACATATTTTTGTTTGTTACTTAGACTACAATACTTGTATCACAACTCAAATGTAATGTAAAATTGTGTGATGTATTATATGCTTGTTAAAAATCCTAATTTTCATCATCTAGTTTTAATCTAATTTTGTCATGACTTGCCATTGTTAAAACCAAATCAACTGTTTAAAATCTATCTATATATTAATAGGCAAGCATGTTTCTTTAAAACCTTTTTTCTCAGCTCGTGTGCATTGTAGGGAAAATCTACGCATACTGTTAGAAAGCTATTTTCCTGTAGGTGTGCAGAATCCCTTTATAAATTAAAATAGGCTCAAAAATAAGCACAAAAAATGAATTTAAAATTTTGAAAAATTTAACATGGATATTATGAGTTGCCATGCTGGTGACGAAATAACAACGAAATATAAACAGAAAATCAAAACAAATGGAAGAAACTCCAATCACATGTTCTATTCAAAGTGTGGAATGAACATAAAGAAGTCTGTACATTAAATATTTTTGGTCGAGTTTCGACCACTGGACGACCTCTAGTATTACTAATTGTTTACTGCAATTATAGTTATGTGACTGTAATTTTTACTTTACTTTATTGCCGTGGCTCTTGGTACCCAAGGATTTACTTTGCCTCGCCAACACACTGCCTCCAGACTGCACGATCCACTGCTTCATCCTACCTTATTCCCATTCTTCTCGGGTCTCTTCTCACTTAATCTCTGCTCTCCACCTCAACTTGGGCCTTCCAGGAGGTCTTCTACCCTCGGGGTTGTTGTTTAGGGTGTTTTTCACTAAGGAACCCTTTTCCTTTCTTAACATGTGATTGTAACAAGTTGATTAACATATCTCTTCCTTTTCGAGAATGACAGGTGTCGAGAACTGCAAGTAGTTTGAGTAATCATAAGACTTTTAAACATCCAAATTAATACTGTTGTTGATGATCATTTATGAATTGCAAACGAGCAAAAAGTTGTAATACGTGGCTGGCATTAAGTGTAAGAACTCATATTCTAATTTAATTAATGGTAAGCCATAAAGAATGTTTTTTTTTCTCCCGTAATCACTTAGGTATTCCAATGTTGTTATAATAATCTTTACAGACTTTACCAGGGGGTTGTACCTGTGTAGGTCTACCACCAAAACGGCTGAATAGGGACAATTATTGTTGTCATGTGTTTGACCCCCCCCCCCCCTCTAAATAAAGTAACATTTTACTTTTTGCTTGTTTGTTAGTGTTTTTACATGATTTTAAATGTTGATTTGACTATTGTTCATTGTTTTAGTTGACAGATTTGGCCAACAGCGAGGTGAAAGTGTTTGAACAAGGGGAGGAAACTGACGACAAGCAAGCGCAACACACACTGGACGCAACCAAGATCGTCGAACAACAACTCAAATACACATTGGTCTCTCTCGCTCAGTCTTTGTTTGGGAAAGGTAGGCCTATTCAAAATGTTTAGTAACATTGTCTTTGTTTAAAACTGTGGCGGTTCTAGGACGTTTTCAAAAGGGGGCTATCAGAAGATTTTGGTATTTTTAAAGCCTTTGGTGACTTCCTTAATCCACTTCTAACATCTAGAATTGTATCCAAAAACCTCTACTACGTTTTTAGGAAGAAATTCAATTTTTTTCCATGGTCCATTGGGAAACCGCCACTGTTTACAACCATACAGGTTTGTTAGCACTTAGCTTGTAAGATCCTAACTAATGATAAGCTCAGCCAGTTTGTTACTTTTTCACTAACCCGTTCCTTTGAGTATAAAGGTAGATTATATTGACTAATAAAAGAACATAACCTTTACTTTCAAATGTTTTATGGAGGAATAACCAAACAAAATCAGTTGAAAACTGTCAAACATGTCTAGCACCCAGAGATACAAGCTGAGAACTTCTTGGCTATGGCTTAAGGTTTACCACCTTATCGGTATAGTTAGTTTGATAAATGACGGAAGTGGTGTATTCGCACCAGGAGACAGCATCATAAATTGATTGTTGGAAACTCTTCTTGGTCAGATATGGCAAGGAACTCTGTTGATGAATCTAACTTTCTATGAGAGTTTGTGGGGCCAACCTAAAGTAAACACTGGAGGTTTTGGGTGAAAGTTTATATGAATCCAGAATTCTTTAGGAGTTAAAACTGTCAATTGGAAATTTTGAAAGCAAACAGAAATCGATCAATCACATCTATGTAGCCTAAAACCCCTGGCCTATGTTTTCTGTTGCAGATGTAGAGACTCGTTGGGTGTCGAGCTACTTCCCGTTCACTCACCCGTCATGGGAACTGGAGGTCCAGTACGAGGGCAAGTGGTTGGAACTGCTGGGCTGTGGCATCACCAGACATAGGATACTAGAGGCAGGTCGGTGAATCTGCTGCTAGCTCACTGTTGGTAAGAATGAAACGTTATAACAAAAAGTTTTTGCGGACATTTGATTGTACATCACTGAAAAAGTTTTTGGGGACATTTGATTGTACATCACTGATAAGTAAAACAGAAGTTTCATGAACTGGAATCTGAGAAGATGAAAGAAACTAGGCATTCTTGCGCCTATAGAGCAAGTGTCGACTGTCAGATTTTCCCCACACTTGCACTTTACCAAAGCTTTAGTCAAAACGATTATTATGATTGCTTTCAGAATATTAGTTTCTTTTTTTGGTACATACAGTTATCTGCATGGTTTTTTTTGTGATTTTTCTAGTTGGCTGGGCTTGTGTATCTTGTAATGTTTCAGATACTTGGTCACCTGATGACGGGATTGTAATTTCCCAGATCCCAAAACGTCAATAACACTTTTTCTAATCAAGTTGGAAAATGTCTGCAATAATCCCTCAACATAACATGGTACCTAGGTACCATCAACGATCAACTATGACGTCTTTATCATTGATTTTAACTGATAGTGCAATACTTTCTCTGTGATTAGGTTAAACTTGAAAGTATCATTTTAATTGCAGCTGGTGCTGGAGAGAGGATTGGATGGGCCTTCGGCATTGGTTTGGAGCGTTTGGCCATGAGATTGTACAATATTCCTGACATTCGCCTCTTCTGGAGCAAAGATTCTGGCTTCCTACACCAGTTTGAGGTCGAGGATCCCTTCACCTCCATCAAATATAAGGTAATAGAAATGGAATTTATTTTTTAGATTGAGGTTTTGCGTTTTTTTTGTGTGTTTTTCTTGAATTTTGAAACAAAGTTTGGTAAGGTCTTTGTTCAATAATGTACAAGCTAACAAGGTAATCTGCACAATGTTAAGACTGATCCTTCTTCTTACACGAGGTATAGGTTTAGCAAAGTACTGTACTGTATTACTGTACAGTGTGTTGTTTTCTGTAGGCCTATTTGCTTACTTATTCCTAGCGCCATTTTAGTTACTCTACGCTACTTTTTGTTATCAGTAGGCCTAAAGTCTTTTAATGTTCAATTATACATGTACATTTAACATGTGGAAAATACAATTTCACCATACTGTAGGCCTACTGGCCTTAAACAGTCGTTTTTAGTTCTCTACATCCTCCGCAAAATCATCGTTTTCAGGTAACTTCAAATAGGGAACAGAAAAAACATTTTAAGGAAAATTTTTCTGTGTGCTAACCTCAAAATTTCTTTATGGCACATTATGTTGTTATAAATGATATAAAGACACAATACTTTAAGTTATGTTTGTAAACAACAGAAATATAAACATTGATGACGACTTTATATATTTCCTCATTAATTGGTCTACCCTATTATGTGGTCTCATTTTGTAACGATTAGAAGGTTATTTCCAGAGAACGATGAAAATAATTGTTCATCAAACAAAGCAAAAGTGTCTTTTTTGGTTCTTAATTGATTGCGTACCAAAAAGAGTCACTTTCGCTCCTAAAGATGATATATACTATTTCTTATCTCATAAATATTGTTCGGCTTTTTAAAGCATTGAATTTGACACCATCTGAAATTAATTGCCAAATATCAGTAGGAGTAGACTTTTCTCAATCCCAAAACTTGCAAATTTTTTTCAAATTTCTTACACTGTTATGTACCTACTAAAATGTTACTGACCGCTAAGTTATTAAAGGTTGTGTTTGTAATAAGTTCCATAAATACTCCCTAAGGGTCACTAAACTAAATGTCTAGGCAGTGGATACGCAGTTCTAACGATGTACTGTGAAGATTGAAGCAATTTGTTACCAAGAAAAATCTGCATGCATTAAATATGCATATAATGTTTCAACTTTTTTAACTAAACTGTTTGTTCCAGCCTGTGAGCGTTTACCCTCAGTGTATCAATGACATAAGTTTCTGGCTTCCTGAAAACACCTCATATCATTCTAATGATTTTTACGAGGTAGTAAGGGATGTAGCCGGTGACATTGTTGAGCAGGTAAGCTATGACCATCATATTAATTCTCTAGCTTGAAATTCTGAAGTTTTAGTTAAATTAATTTTACACTGGGAAACTTAATTTTAATTGTACTCCAATTAATTTCAAAATCGAATTACTGCATAACTCGACAATGTGTTCAGATTCAACTGGTAGACGAGTTCCGTAACCCCAAGACAGGTCGGACGAGTCACTGTTACCGCATCACATATCGTCACATGGAGCGTACTCTCACCCAACCTGAGGTGAATGCACTACACTCCAAGGTGGACGAGGCAGCTACCGAGAGACTAGGTGTGTCTGTACGCAAGAACCAATAGTCTTTCACTTCTCACTTGTACATATGTTGTGAATAAATAAGTTAGCTGTAAATTTGAGTTTGTATTCCCTTCTTTTTAACATTTATTTGTGTTAACCCATTCTAGTAAGGGACCGGTCCTAACTTTGGTCTTTATATTGCTAACATTAATCTTTTGTTAGACGTTAGACAGCATCATTAATGGTTTAAGAGTACTGGGTCAAGAAACGATGTGGCATAGAATCGAACCAGATTTAAAGGCTAGTACTATAATCATTCATCACTTAATTGAGACAATCATACTTATTTGATTTCAAGCTGAATATGTCTACTTGGCACGCTAACTTTTAGAGGAATATGCCTCAATTTTTTTTAGTTCTTTTCTACGTTAAACTGAGGGGTTGGTATGTGATTTTCCATTTGCATGAAGAAATTTTGTAAAATTGTTGACCAGAGTTTGTCATTTTTATATTAGTCGTAATTGTGTAAAAGTTGGACAACAAAAAATGAAGTCAGTCTGCTGCCAGAAACAAGAAAGCAAACAAATATTTAGACAGCAAAAAATAATAAATTTCACTGAAAAGTCATTGAATGATTCTTCTTTTTTTAAGAGGTTGGCGGCTGCTTTTGTCCTTGCAGGTCTTGTGCCTGTGCAAAGAATGTAAACAGCAAAGCAAAAGGTGAGCTGGCACAGTACGAGGGTGAACTGTACTGAAAAAAAGTAGTGACAGGTTCAAACCCACGACATTGCTCAAGGCAACACTAAATAAACAGGCCGTAATGCTCCTCTGGCATGACGTCATCATAGGCGACGGCAATGACGTAATGTTATTTTTTAGTCATATCATGCCAGAGGAGCAAAACGGCCTGTTTATTAAGTATTGCTGCCTTGAGCCGAAGTCTGTGGTGCTACCAACTGAGCCACCGACTCTCCTTACTCCACTCTTTACCTTATATTAATTTAGTGAACTAAAATACTAAACAAGTAAATTGAAAGAGATTTTGAGAGGAGATTAACAATGTTGGTGAAAAAGTTAAGGGGTAATAACAAATACATTGTCTTAAGCTTTGTGCCTTTTTTAATTCACTGAATAAACTTTGCAGATAAATAAATAGAACGATAAAACATTACAAGAAATTGCACACAACTGAACTTTGCACAATGTACAAAACTTAATTCTACACCTAAAATACAATATAATAACTGCTAAAAACAGCGAGAATAACAATTGAACCAATCACTCTTTCAATACTCAGAGCAAAAAATTAGCTAGCTGACTAATATAGCTTTTAAAATTTTATAAACTTACATTAATGCTTGGCATCGATTTGGAATGGTCAGTTGTAAAAGTGGAAGTTACTCATTCATTGCTTTGATGTATAACATCTCTTAAGTAATACTTCGGAAACACATTATGTTAATTGTAAACACTTGTGAAAACTAGGGCCCCACAATCTTTCACAATAAAATAACGCATGTCATTTCTAAGATGTCAACAAAAATACCCAAGATGAAAGGGATCCAAAAAATGAATAAATAAATAATCTCCTTTATTTTGAATTACACAAAAATCCCCAAACATGGAAGATCAGATCTTAATTTTCATCATGTCAAAATCAGGAATCAATTTAATATATTTTTGAGTGTTTTCAATTTTGGACATTCAAAATGAAGACACAATTTTTAACACTGTAGCTGTTATTTCATAAAAACCTAACCAATGAACAGTTATTTTGTCCGTTCAATATTCCAGTTCAATAAGATAAATTTATATAGGGGGTTAACTTTGGAGAAAAATGTTTATATTGAAAGGCAGCCTTTATATTCATCATAGGAAGTGTGATAGCCTTAAAAATACTTATTGAATAACAGTCGGTATACCAGAAAGGCACTGAGAAAGAGGCACAATTCACAAAATTTGCAATTACAACGAACCATATAACTAAATAACTTCTTGACCAGCATTGTACGTGTTATTAAATTTACGGAAAGTAAATAAAAGAAACGTCTTATAACACTTAAAACATATATTTACGCTTATACTGTTACTCACAAGACGGTAAATATACAAAAAAGGTGGTAAGTGGTGATCGATTTCGATTGGACACTGCAATCATCATCAGACCCAATAGGCGAATGGTGCACATTCGCCTATTGGGTCTGATGATGATTGGAGTGTCCAATCGAAATCGATTACCACTTACCACCTTTTTTGTATATTTACCGTCTTGTGAGTAACAGTATAAGCGTAAATATATGTTTTAAGTGTTATAAGACGTTTCTTTTATTTACTTTCCGTACCATATAACTGTACGAACAAAGATTCTTACAGGCTTAAAATTGGTTTTTTCAACAGTTATATAAATCCTAGATTTACTTTTTACTGCACTTGTATACAATGCCTCATTAGAGAGCTTTCTTAATTAAGCCTAACGATATGTGTTTACAATGGTACTTACTTAACTATACGGTAAAAATATAAAAATACACACAGCTTATAGTAAATGTTGTTTACAAAATAAGGAACTATGATTTAATTTCAGATTCAGACTCTTGTCTTTTCTCATGTCTTTTACAAAACACTAAGACCTCAATGGTAGTTCTACTCTAGCAACTTCATATTGCATAAAATTACAAATATAAAAATATGACTTTATTAATCACAGATTTAGTGGTGCTTGAGCTTCTCAGCATTCACCTCCAAGGCTGACGGCTGCTGTTTGTGCTGGCGGAACCACTTCTTCCTCGAGATCCGTATGTTGGGCCTGGAATGGACAAACGAGTAAAAAAATATAATGCTTTATAACTTAAACGTAACTTAACATAAACGTTAAACGTAAAAAGGCTAGCCCTCAGTAAATGAAATCAAATCAAACATAATTTATTCCATGAATAAAGTATACAAACAGTAATTCCAAACAAAAATGGATCCTCCCCACATAGGCAAAGCCTGTGCGTGGGGACCGAGTTAATCAGTCCATCCATTCTATAATCTATAATCTAACATAATCTTTAATCTAATTTACAAAAAGGGAAAAACAATTTTACAGGGAAGCCACAGCAGATAACTTAAACATTGGAAATATCTGAAAGGTGTAAAAAAAAAAAATTGGTAAAAAAAGGGAAAGTAATAATAATAAATAAATGACAAAGATCCAGTAAAAAGGGATTTAAGGCTGGTATAAGCCAGTATAGGTAAAATCAAAATGACAAAACTTGTACAGGGTGTTTTAAGAGAATGCTGGGATTTTGAATTATTATTCAAGGTAACTAAACGTTTTATATGTCAAATTGAAGCTAAAATAACTAAGTTTTGTTTCCCGTGTAGCAAGGGAGGAAATTTTGACCTTGGCATGCGCGAAACAGGTAGGCCACTATTGTGACTCATACGCTTGACACCAGTTGCCAGTACGTCGTTTACGGCGCAACAGAAGGCACAGATTGTAATCTGTGGTTCTCAGAGTTTATATCCATTGCTAAATTAAACTAAATTAATATCTACTTGATCATACAAGAAACTTGAAGCTGGTTTAATGAGTTTCGTGGCACCGTAGTGTTTTAAAAAGACATTCACCTGGCCGGCTAAAAACAAACGATGATATAGTCGAAGAAATCCGACAATTCTGCATCAGAAGCCCGAAAAATCGATTGCCTGACGAAGTCTTCAGTTGAACAAACCTAAATTGGTCACTTTATGATGTTATTTGTAAAATATAGAGTCTTTGTACCTAAATGATTCAGTTAAACCCGCCGATCGCCCTTAGCGTACATACTTTGCCAGTTTTACGCTCAAATAAGATTGATGAAAATCTGACTTTATCAAATCATTCCGAATTGTATCAAAGAATGAGAAAAAACTTTGTTCTTTCACCTTCATTTTGACGTTCAAACCGTTTAATTATCTTGAATAGTCCCCTAGCAACGACCCTTTAAAATCCCGGCATTCTTTTAAAAACGCCCCGTATTTGCTCCAATTCACTTAAAACATTTCAAAACTGTAACAAGTGCTACAACCCAGTATAGGTAGAGCTATAAAATATTAATGGTTTTGGGACTACTAATGGGGTTTACTGGTATGCTGATGCCCAGAAATCTAATCAAATCTATACATGTACGGAATTGGTGAGATACAGATTATGTGATTAAATTCTACCTGTGTATCCATTGTCAGAGAAAGATTTGGTTCTTGTTCTACTTTGACGAGGTTTCTTTTCTTCGCTGTTTAAACTCCTGCAATCAAAGTGGTTATGTTTAGCACTCAATTATAAACATTACAGTTAGATACTTGTTATTCTTTTTCAGAAAATGAAATAAAATATTTTCTGCCAGATAAAAGAACTAAATATATGACAAAAATGCTAAATATCGAAATACTAACTGCTGTCGGCGTAGAATGCTCTTACGAGTAGCTGCAGAGATGGCAGAGGAAGGCCTGGACGTCGGTCTGCGGAGTCTCTCTCTGTCCGCAGAAATGATGGCCATTCTGGTAGACACAGGGGCTGAGACAATATCCTGCAGTTCGCAGAGTGCTGCGTTCAACTGCAACATGACAACATAAATACCTCTCAAGCAGCAGGCCGAGAAAATATCCTGCAGTTCGCAGAGCTGCACATTAAATTTCTTTTTAGCTGCAGACAAAGTTTTAGTAGCGCTGCACTAAGACATTAACCAACTTCCTCTTTACACAAAAATCAAAGTTCAGTTAAGTTTGGAATCACTAAAGCATTGTGTATACAATATTTGCAAATGAACAATGGTTAAAACACCTTCGCTAGTATCAATTTCTGGAGTTGGACCACCGAAATTTAGATCATGCAACAACAGGTTTTTATGTTTATGGATTGTAAAGATCAGAATAAATATATTTTTCTTTAGTGTATACATTGTAAATTGTATTTTATTTTGACAGAATGATTGTAGTTTTTAAGCACTAATCTTAGTTGCTCTTTAATAAATTTATAGGAATACAGTCAGAAAGATGAGTTGCATTACGAACGATTTTAAATTAAAATTCATTTCCTACTACTGGAACGTCAATTATTAATAATAATAATAACGAGGTGTTAGCCCGTCCTACGTACGGGATTAGTCAGTTAAAACTGTGTATAAATCAGAACAGCTAGCGTACACGTATAAAGACAAATTTTATAGCAGCCTACAGTAGAAAGAGTAATTAATTGAGAAAGTGTATAGGCCTAGTCAACGATATCACCTTCCAATTACATCGCATATTTGCCTCTTCCATAATCAATATCAACACAATACAATTACTCATACTATACACAATTTCCAGTAGGTCTGAATAGAAACTCCCTAAAATAAAACGAAAACATCCAATAAAATTCACAGTAGGCTACACATAATTATAAAGTTGGTGTCCTGACATCATTAAACGAATCGTCCACACATATCCTTTATATCAATTTCACTGCATCAATTGCTAAATAAATAAGTGTAAACAAAGAAAAGTAAAAACAACAACATATAGTTTGTTTTAGTAAACAGCTGAGTCAAAAATAAAATAATATTCATATAAATAAAAAAATAAAATAAAAAATAAATAAATAAATAATAAAAATTAATAAAAAATAAATAAATAAATAAAAAATATTAAATATTCATTTAAACAAAAGAACTGGTCACATGTTGAAGGAATTTAAAACGTAAAACACGCTAGTAAAGCTAGTGACGTAATTAATTGTCTATGTTTATTATCCATTCCTTCTAATATCCTTAATAATTAAACCACCCTCATTGAATCAATATACACTGTAATTCCCCGTATTCATTTATTTAAACTATAAAATATTCAGCGCCTCCAAACGTAACCACAACTAAACACACGCAGAACAAATTTTTAGATTTCATAAAAAGATGGTTAGTCTAATTGCAGTATCCTAGGTCAATGATGACGTTGTACTCAATCTATGTCATTCATCTGTATATCTTTGGATAAAACCCGTCTGGGCTGTGGTGGCAATTAAAATTGCATTCCTGAGGATTCTTGTTCTCCTTCTTTATGACATCAATATTTCCGGGCCTAATCCAAACAAAGTTTAATCATTCAAAAACATTGATTGTGAACAAACCAAGATGAATTGAAACGTGTAAAAAATGGATTTTCCTACCCTTTCCTAAAAATGTTGAGCAGTATAATAATTTGCATATCATTTTTTAAGACTCGTGTACAGAGCCTCGACTTGTATACATCGATGGTGTTACTTTTCTCGGTGGTCTACTAATCTTACTTATTTCCTCAAAATCAATGAAAAATCAGAGTAAATAAAATAACCTCATAGTTCTACAGAGCATATTCATATTTAACCAGCTGTTAGTTAAAAGAAAATTATATTGCACTAAAACAAACCGAAGATTACAAAGATTTATTTAAAAAAAATCCTTTGAACATCCTAGTATTTTACCTATGTATATTTAAATAATCTGTCATCCTCTTATCGAAGGATTGAACGTATCAATGATTAGCATTACACATAGTATAAATAAGTCAACCCTTAGTATGTTTTTTAATTTTATCCAAATGCTGAATTTGTGTTACAAACGCTGAATGTTTACAGCTGTTATGATAAACAAATTATATTTCACCAAAAGCTAGTTTAGAATCTTAGCGTCGGCTGCTAGACTTTTAAAAAAATTAAAACTTAATTTCCAAAAAACTGGGACCCTAAACTAAAATTATGGCTTCGACATTCCCTAGTTCTCAAAATTATCTTTCTTTCAACACAAAAATCATGAAAATCCGTCGAGTGGTTGATTCAGAATCGTGAAATAAAAAAACACTGTTTCGTTTTAATATTATAGATGTTACCTTCTACCGTTCCAAATTGATGTAGTTTGCAACGCGTTTTGTCAATAGTGACACTGTCACCCGGAATTAATCATGTGCATACGCGATATGTGGCCGCCGCGACGACATTACAGATCCGTTCCTTAAATGTGATAAATGAAGGTTTGTGTATTGTGTAATGACTGTTTTCCTACAGTCACCCGACAAAGTTGGCTTCCTTGTACTGTTTATAGTACAGAAAGCTGCTAATTGCTGCATATTTATACTTTGCCGTACGGTTTATACTTTGCCGCACGGTTTATACTTTGCCGCACATCAGGATTCCAACGAAACAACACAAAACAGCGTGGTTCTATTATGCACGTAATCCGTGTCCGCTTGGAAATAGGTTGGCAACACTTAAAGATAATAATACTATGAGCAGCTGATTGACTATTATAACTATGATTGAACCTGTCATTTCGTGTTTATAGTTTAGGTATTTCTGAACTTTCTGGACTTTTCATTTAAACGTTTTTAAACCATTCCTACGATCTTAATAAACAAGAAAATGCCTTTAACGCATTTTTTTAGGCGCGGAAACCACTTTAAATTACAAAAACATACGGAACTATATTCTCAAAACGCGGAGCACATTTCTTGCCGAGGAAAAATAGCGGAGTGATACAGACTGCGGGTACTACTTTCTCTAGGGCACCTATTTGTGTTGCCAGCTGAACCTAAAAACGTGTTGTAGTGTTTGAAAGACTAATTATTTATATGCTTTATAGTGACTGTAGGAAAAATGTAATGTGTAACACGAGTGAAAAAGGCCTTTGCTGCACTCGAGATCATTCCGCACTCGCCTGCGGCTCGTGCGTAAACATTGCTCTCGTGTGCAGCAAAGTGCCACTTTCACCACTAGTTACACAAATAACTATTTATTTTAATATAGAAGATGAAGCAATTAATAGCATCATAAACATCATCAATTTGGAACGGTAGAAGGTAACTATTATTATTTATATGATTTTCAAGTAAAGTGGAAGTGAATAAAATCAACTTTAACAGGATAGAGAAGCAGCTTTTTCCCTGCAGTTTTTGTTACTGACAAAATCCCCTGGTTTCATCTAGGATTAATAGTTTGCCCAATATTATTTAAAATTGTGTTAGGGTCAAGTGTCAAGGCGTGAACAAGCATAACAACATTTCTCGGTACATCCAAAACCTATGGATTAAAAGGGGATGACTATATCCAATTGGCTGCCCAGTACATTTTATTGAACTTGTTAAATATAGAAACATAAACTAGTTTGAAATACACCCAAACCTCAGTCATCACTGATGTCTATCTCATCACAACGTCTATACAAAAAAAGTATGAAATATCAATTAATTAAACAGTTTATCAACTTTCATCTTTCCTAAAATCTGATGAAATTTAGTTGTAGTTTTTTTATGACTAATACTTAGGCCTATACTTATACTTTATACCAAAAATATATAGGCTACCGGACCTGATGAGCTAATCGAGCGTGCAATTCCAGATCATTTGGTTTCAAATGCGGTTCTTTCTGCAGAGCAAATGCACAAGTAAGCGATTCCTTAATCAGTTCAATCAACTGCTGAACTTTCTCAGTTTTCAGCAACCTTCTGGTCAAATAACCTTTTGCACAAGCTGTGAGTTTGGTAGCTGCTTCCTGAAAACATTCCGTTTTTGATCATTATCATAAACCTTTAATATACCGTACCTACTAATTCACTGATGTAAATTTTGCTGTTATCCTAATGATTGAGCATTAACAAAATAGCTATCTGAAGCCCAAATGCAATCAAAAAAGCTACATGTTTAATACAAATCCTTTAAAATTGTTAATTTACTGATTCTGCAAAAATATTAATGAAATGAACATACCTTTTCTCTCTCTGAGTAGTCAAAAATATGTTTAGTATACATTTCTCCTTCATAAGGTTTTTGTTTAGGAAATAATTCACGGCTACACGAGTCCTTTTTCTCAAAATCTAATACTTCATGATTTGAATCAAAAGGATCGCCATTACTTAAGTTTGTTGTAGTTCTGCTTGCCAAAGACCCACTTGTAGAAATTAGTTGAGAATAAATCTGTTCTTCTTTACGCTGCTTTTCAAGCAGTTCTCTAAGTTCATTTTCATGTTTAATTTTCAGTAGGTGAATACTTGTTCCTGACGTATATTCAGCTGTTGAAGGTCTTGAAGTATCATTTGTAGGTAAATATCTGGAAATACTCATACTGCTACATAATGAAACTAAATCATCAAGATCAGAGTGATTTATAACGCTTGAAATGTTCCCATTGGAAATGTTGGCAATGTCATGTGAATTTTTCTGGATGTATGTAGATTGTGTGGTGACTGAAATCTGACTGGCCGAATCACTTAAGTCTATTTGAGGAGGAGAACAGTGTTCTGTACTGCAGAATGATTTGTCACAACTTGAGGGATTATTGATTAATGAAGTAGGTGAAGTTTTATTAGAAGACGCAGATTGCAATTCACAAACATTTTGCATGAGTGAGGTTGAGAGGGAGTCCACATCTCCATTGAGATCTTTACAGTTAGTGATAGGCCTGCTCATTTTGTTTGCCAATTCAGTGCTTGCACCTAAATTACCCCTTATTTGTTTCGCTATTTCATACAGAGAGTTTTCCTCCAAAGATTTTAGACAGTCAACAGAGCGAGTAAATGATGAATAGCCCACAGGACTTGTACGAGAACTAGCAGGAAGTGAATAATTGCTCGCTTTAACCCTTGTCTCAGGCATAACAAATGTGTTAGACTTCCTTAATGTGTATTTGGAACGATAGTTTTCTACTCCTAATATGGAAGACTGATTGCAAGCGTTCTTGTTCCAGTGTTTTCTTTGACTTCGGCCTGAAAATGTTTTAAATCCGGGTCCTTTGGTTTTCTCTTTCTTATCAGGGAGCGTTTGCCATGTTGTTTTATTGTTTGCTTTCTCTTTAGCCATATGTTCCAGCAGGACAGGGCTCGGACTCTCCAGAGTGTAAGAGTTTCGTCTGATCCTAGGAGGTAAAGAAGGACGCTCGTCTTGCCTGCATTCCAAGTCATCTTCAGTAGGCCTATTTCTTATACTTTCTGGGCTCCTAAGGGTGGTTTTAGATTCAGCAACAGAAGGAGCAAGACTGTCATTGTCACTAAAACTCAAATCAACAAAATCTGAACCTCTTTGAAAACTTGATTCTGAAAAACCTGCTGAAGACTGGATTTCACTTTCTTTACTACAAACTTGATTTAACTGTAAAGAAGTTGTATCACTTTCACCAGGGATATCTAGAAGGGTTTCAATTTTGTTATCTTTGAATATTTTTTCAGCAGTGGAAGAGAAGAAATCTCTGAATTCAGGGTCTTCTAGAGCAGTCTTTAAGAAACTATCACTTACAGCATAACTCATTGATTCAAAAGATTGCATGGAAGAGTCATTTTCAAAGTCTTTTTTCAGAGTCAAATCGATAAAGGAAGATTGATCAAATTGTGACTCACTCTGATGAAATTCTGTATTTTTTAAATGGTCTGTATAACTTCCGGTCATCACACCACTATCAATGCTACTGCGTTTCCCTTTCAACTTCTTTTCTACTTCAACAGCTTTTTGCTTGTCATTGTTGATTTCTTTCCTTCTCTCATCAGTGATCTGAAATAAGTAAATAATTAAGCTTACTTTGGTTGTATGTGTATTATAATCTAATTAAAGGCTTTAAGACACCAGAATCAGAATACTTAAATTAAAGATGTTGAGGCTTTAGGTGTGGATTTCTGTTGGCGATTTTCAGGCCACACCTTTACAGGCTACATAATATTCTGTATTTGAACTGCATTGTTAATACAAGGGGTTATTGACTTCCTCGTTAGATACACTCAATGTAAAAAAACTCTCCCTTTAAAAAAAAAACTCAATGTACAGTTATTGACCTTATTGTTTGATAGGATAACAAGCCATAGTGTACCTTTAAAAAATACGTTATTTCCTTTATAGAGAACTAACTCTCACCAGAAAACAATACCCAAACTATAACGTGAAATTAATACACAAAATGCACATAGGTAATATTAGAGTTGGATTTTTTTAACTAAGTTAACCTAGATTAAATGTAACATATGCGTTCACTAGGCTACTTACAAATTAGGACATTTTTGGACAAGCATTGAAGTTGTTAAAAAACTACCTACATTGTCTATTTAAAAACAAGAGCATGCAAATAATGATTCAAACTAAACATCCTAGGCCTACATAAATAAGTATGAAATAAGCTAGGCTATATAAATAATTTAGGCCTACTTACCAAGGGCGGAAGAATAGGGATTCCAGAAATCTTAATACATGATGTGTAGCCATTCGGGTTTAAATTATTTGGTAACATGATACTCGGCCTAAAAAAAATTAGAATTAGATGAACCCATGGTAATGAAAAGAGTGGTTGGTTAACTTAAAATGTTGGGAGTGTTGCACGACGTCCAAGTGCCACGACGTCCAATAATATTTTTCCAGTGCCACGACGTCCAAAACATAATTTTTGAGTTGTTGCACGACGTCCAAGTGCCACGACGTCCAAAAGTACAGTAACTGCCAAAAATATAGTCTTTCTACAAGCTTTGGACATCGTGGCACTTGGACGTCGTGAAACAGCGCACTGTAGAATTGTAAAGAAGTATCATTTGCACCACGTCCAAAGCCTCTGCCAGTTGCACGACGTCCAAGTGCCACGACGTCCAATCAATATTTCACTGTTGCACGACGTCCAAGTGCCACGACGTCCAAAGTGCCTGCACACTGTGAACACTGTTTGCCGACCTCAGTGCATACAGTTCGCATTGCAATTATTGAAGGCAACTAGTCCTAGTCAACTGTTTGAAAGTTGTCAACCGCTTCGTCTTCGATTAATGTTTAAATTATTCAATATTCAATGGTTCTAATTGAACTAATTATTGCGTTAGCTTAAATTTTTTATATGTAAAATAAATACTATGTCACTGTAAAATGTAATGATGCAGTATTTCTGTTGTTATGATTGCATAATTGATTTCTACAAAATAGAGCTATGTCATAGAAACGAAATAAATAAATGACTACACTATTCACTATATTGTATGATTAATACAATAAATTAATCACTAGCCCAAAAGTAAATATGGTTGGTTTAATGTGAGTAGTGGAAGAATTCTAAGTACTGCAGTAGAATAGAATTGTCATACTATATCAATTGGTAGCAAATTTACTCGTAAGATAAAATGTATGCACAGTTTTATAACAGCTGTAAGACTTCCCATTTAAGTACCGGTATCATTGAAATTGTATAACTTCCATTGAACAGAAATGAGATAAGTAGATATTGATACACAGATATATGAATTTTCATACACTTATAATATGATGAATTCAAAAAAGTTTTATCCGTAAAAATGTGCTAAATATTATGTAAACTATCAACTTTTTAAGCTTTAATGATGTTGCTACAATGGTTAAAAATGTTTCCTGTGAAACAGTGGGAATAATTCGTTTTAAAAGAAATCATTCATCATGGATATAGGAAATAATTAAGATTCTATAATCATTGCCCTATCAACCTAGGCCCTTTTCCTAAGTGTTATGAGGTTTATGTTTTGATTTATTTTTGTGTAAACCGTAATATAATCCCCCTACCACAGCAAATCTGTAGACTGAATTTCCATTTGCCTGATTATATAATTTCACTAAAATATGTTAGAAAATTACCCTATTTTCCATATTTATTTATATTTTCCTATTTTTCCTATTTGTCGGTTTGAAACTATTGTGATAGCTTTTTGTTTACAGTGCAAACCATGGATGTATGGATGGACGGATGGATGTTTGTGACAAGCAAACGCGAAAAATACTAAACCGACAAGGTTGAAATTTGGTATGATGATAGATGACATCCCAGATTAAAATATTCTTACATCAAAAATTCTTTCAGTCTCCTCCCCGGTGGCTCTGGCTCTGGACTTTCTCTAGTTAACCTTATGAGAATTCATATTAAAAGAAATTAAAGAATATTGTCAGCCGTTTCAACTGTACAAGTTGGTTCTATGATATTAAACAGCATTAAAAGTTATAAGGCTTGCCAAACAGGGTGCAGCACTATTATGTTGTTCGTTTGCATTAATGACCACAGCTAATTTGAACCAACTAGCAAAAAAAAGTTGTGGTACACAATGAGAACTTTACTTTTTTCCATGGTCTAGGTGCAGTGGTAGAACATCAGGACTATGGTAGATGTGTGCTACTCAATAGGATACCGTATAAATTAAAAGACCAGTTTTTTTTTTTTTTATCGTGTCCTCTCCCATAACTGCAATAAGCATTTATACTTATATGTCAACCCCGTACGAAGGACGGGTACTCTGCTAGTAACACAATAATAGAAATACAGTATACTAATACAATAATACTGTAGGTTTCCGTAGTCTGTGGCCATAGGTTCATCTGAACTGTCAATCAATTCTGAGAAATTCACAGTTGTAAATTCTTACTAGTCTTTTTCTAAGTTCACGTCGCACTCGCAATTAGTTCGCATGTTTTATCTAGGAAAGCAGGTATGCCCTAAGTCATAGTATTTGTAGGTTAAGTATAATAATAACAAACATGCTTATCGTAGGTTTGTAGGCATACTTGTTCAAGAATATGTCGTGGTAGGTTTTGTTTATAAATTTTATTCTTTAATTCTTGTCTAATGACGATATTGATTTGTATTAGTGCGAAAATGTTAATTTATTTGTCAAGGGCATGAGCGGCCCTCTGGTCTATGTATGTTACATGAAGCACAACATGAAAAAGAATAAATTAAAGGAAGGTAAAAAACGGATTAGTTGCTGAAGGTCTAAATCTCGGAAGGTCTAATCAGACCTTCGACACACATTTTGCAGTTTGTACTTGATGCTGAGGATCCCATGAATCCTGTACAAAATTAAAAAAATGTTTCATTCAAACTACAAGTTTATTACTTTTCCGAGAACCAGCCTTTATCAGGACTTCCGCTCCCACGCTAGTTGGCAACATCAACTGTGCTATATGAAATCAATAAATCTTGAGTAAATATATTGTAATGTTAAATGTTGAGGTTGTGGTGTTCCTTCGTAAACACATTCAATTATAATCTTGGAATATGTAAATTTATTGTTATACGTTAACTTTATTGATATTCGATTCACTACAGTACTATTAAACCTATAACATTTTCAATTCATGTGCGTTGTATTTTAGAGTTGGGGAAACAAAAGAACCCTGTGTACAACTTATTTATATGATACTAGCTGTGTGCCCGTTCTACGCACGGGGATCTTAAAGTAGTCAGTTGAAACCTTCTTATATTAAGAAAAGCAGTTGGTTTGCATATTTTCAGATATGCTGGCAAAACTATTATATATAAACCTTTGCAAATACAGTATCTGACAGTTTCAAGCCAAAACAAATGCTTCGCAATTAAATGTCACCCGGATCGTGTTGGTCCATATGTTAAATCCAATGATTAAACTAAAAAAAAGCTTTATAGGCCTAGATCTATGAGGCATAGCCCTAAGGCCTATAGTTGAAAGTTACTTCCCACAATGGTTAAAGGTATTTATTTAAAGTACTACCTCAACCTCACCATTTAACACTTTATTCGGGTTGACATTTTCATTATCAAGGTGCTCTTGTCCTTTTCGTGACACTGAGAAATAAGTACATAAATGCGTTACCAACAGACATACACACAAAAATACAGAACTTAATTAGGGAATTTGCTACGTTTTAAGCATAACAAAGTACATATAAAATTAGAATTTGAAATCTTTGTCAATGTCATCAAATTTTATCATATTTATTATATTTGCTTGGACCGAAGATGACGCGAAATGCTGACGAAATGACGGATTACTTTATAAAATGAAGTACTATAGACAATTTAGATTGGTAATTTCACCTATAATAAAAATTACCGAAATAGGCCATGAACTATTGATACATAAACAACGTAAATCGTAAACAATTCATAATGGTTTGCTAAAAAAACGTTTTACTTAAATGAGTTATCATTTTCTTAGCATAAACTAACATTTTGGAATCCAGACAGAAAAAGCAAAACTTATACAGTTAAGACATCAATTAAATTGAATAAGGCTGTAATACCACTGTATAAATAAGGTGCAACACCAACGATAACTAATTTGTAAATTACAGTGATGTGTTGGTACGTAAAAATGATTTTCGCTGCTACCAACGGTTCTAAGGGAAAAAACCAGTACCAAAAACCAACGTTTACAGTTAAGAATTACGTCCGACAAATAAAATGCGTTAATCAAGTCCCAAGGTTATTGATTTCTTGGTTTTGGATTTTTTCGTGAAAAGTTATCGGCAATCAAAATTATTTCCCATTAATTGCTTTATTCGTAAACAACTTTTAATGTAAACTTATTGGTGTCAGTTTGAAAAAAAAAACAACTGTTTGTTATTTAATAGATTACGCAGGCCTATTCTCTAAACAATGATTGGTATATCTTTTAACATTAGAATGAAATGTGACCAATGCTGTGACCAATCACGCAATGCTGGGTTTTTGGACGTTTGTAATTTTATTTCTCAAGTAGGGAGGCCGTGTATTCTAGGGAAAAGTACCGGTATCAAGGATCGTCGTCGAAAAGGTTGTTATGAATAATTGGGTAGGCGTAAGTACCCAAGAGATGGGCTATGGGCCTATTGGCTGTATCGTCCAGCGATTGCATCATACGGTGAATAGGAACAGAAAGTAACACATTGGAAAAGCGAGTTTAGCATCATCCATAAACCGTAAACCTCTGTTACAATCACCCACTGTAGTTGTGATTTTTTGCTTTACACTTTACACTTTACACAACCACCATTGAAGCGCCGTCAATGAGTTAGTAAGCTATTGGCGACGATCATTAATAAATTCAAGTTTCCCAGCCCTATACAACACTGATTCAAGGTTATCAAAACTCAAGAACAATTTTATACACAAAGAATCTCTGGTTCCTAACCTGGATGATGTTATTAAATTTCATTTACGGTTACACTATATTATTCCACTTGCGATTAATTAAATCCGTTATGTAAGACAACGATTTTAATCTCACTTGGATGGGCTTTGCCTTGAAAACGTGATCGGAAATGGTTGTGGTATTTGTAAACATATCAGTGACAGCGAGAAAAAAATATCTTGATCCGAACAGCTGTTCGTTATTTCATAGATCATTATGTGATAAAAATTGGAAGAAAACTTGACAAAAATCGCACAAAACTGCATTTTTGAACGTCCGTAATGTTATTTACTAATTATTGAGGCCATATTTTAATGGCTAAAGACACTCTCGCCAATCCAGTGAATACATTAAAATGACTTGGATCTTGATAGGTACTCTCGTTTTCCTGGAGAAGATTGTGTAAAATGCCATCTTGAGTGTTACAGAAAGACAGAAAGACAGACAGACAGACAGAAATTTAGATGAGACTTGTTTCGGCTTCTTTAAGTATAAAACGTAAAAATAACCTACAAATGAATGATTATGAGCAATGTACAGACAAAACTCTAATTTTATTTATATAGATTCTCATTGGTCGCAATTTAATAAGTGGTGTAGCAAAACACAAACACAAAATTTATTGAAATGAAATTAAGTCAATGTTAAGTGAATACTATTAATAAACATATTTACGACATAAAGACATTTAATTGAAGCCTAAAAAACCGTTCGAAAAGGCATTCTATTCTTTATACAGTAGAACCTCTTTAATCCGAACCCCTGTAATCCGAACGTCCACTAATCCGAACGCCTCATTGCTGTACTCTGTACACAGTACAGTAGTTCTTTATTGTATACTGTATTTATTGATATACGCACTGTAATTATTTCAAATGTAATGTACAGTACTATTTATTCCCAATGTTTACTACTGTATTAAATAAACACTGTATTTTACTTTATAAAGCATTTTCCACTTTTCCCTAGCTATTGTTATGTAAAAACAATATGTTCTGTAATCCGAACTATTCAATAGTCCGAACTACCCCCGGTCCCAATTAGTTCGGATTAAAGGGGTTCTACTGTACTAGTAAAAATTAAAATGAGGGGATAAAAAATAGTTTTCAAAGATCATGTTGATCAATGTACCTATCAATGTATCTAGTCTTGAAAAAATAAGTAGGCTATTTAAAAGCAGACTCCAAACATAATGAAGTTGATCGGTTGTTAACAAAATGGCATCATTTTTCAAACCATGTAAACCTTATAGTTTTCCAACTGTTGCCTTGTTTATTTTTTTCTTTTTATGTTTTTTTTTTTTACTTTATCATGTTTTAATTAATGGTTCAAATATTCATAGTATATATATTTCTGAACAAGAACATATACCCATGTATATATAACTAATAAACGTTCCATAAGCATTTTACACGAGAGAACACTATTCGGCAAGTAGCCGGTCATCATGAAGGAGCTTGGACGTCGTGCAACAGCGCTGAGCTATATTGGACGTCGTGCAACAGTCAAATATTTATTGGACGTCGTGGCACTTGGACGTCGTGCAACTGGCAGCGACTTTGGACGTCGTGCAACACTCCCGCAAATGTTACTTTTTTACAATTATATAGTGCACTGTTTCACGACGTCCAAGTGCCACGACGTCCAAAGCTTGTAGAAAGACTATATTTTTGGCAGTTACTGTACTTTTGGACGTCGTGGCACTTGGACGTCGTGCAACAACTCAAAAATTATGTTTTGGACGTCGTGGCACTGAATAAATATTATTGGACGTCGTGGCACTTGGACGTCGTGCAATGCATCCAAAATGTTTACGTTGGACATTTGGCTTGGTTTCAATTTCAGCTTATAGGCCTAGTAGACTAACTTGTAATTTGTATTACTGTAGCCTACTAGAAAATGATTTTTTTTCAAACATTGTTTAGTTTTGATAATATAATCAGAAAATATTCGACTGAATTAATAACTTATGACAGATTATAACAAGGGCGTGGATACCCTCTTAACTGGCCTGCATTGTTAAGAATGCTAAATACTTAGGCCTACTTTTAACTCTATTTCATGACTTAAGTTAATATGAGTGAAAATTTAAAAACGTACGTTTTCATGTCCCTGGCCTTTTACTTCGTAGATACTGGATTCGTAGTTCCATTATTATGTGTTTTAATATTTTTTGGGACGGGGGCAACATGTTACACACATTTATTTGGTTTTAAATAGGTTCTAGGTATTTTTTTCGTATTTTTAAAGTCTCGAAATTCACGCCCATGACGTGTCCCTAGGGTACATTTTCCAACTTTCACGCTGTTTTTAGACTAATTATTCATGCCGAAATATATAAAGCCATATTTTTATGTCATCAATGGTTATTAAACTTACAAAAAAGGAGCATATTTTAATTTTATTGTCATTGCAGACTGACAAAATAAGTCTGTCCCTCGATTTAGCGTCACGACCATTTGGGAAAAATTTTCAACTTTGGAGCACGACAGTGGCAAGCCTGGCGTCGATGGAGTCAGTTGGTTTGAGAGACTAGTTCAGGGTGTACGTCAGGATTGTAGTGCCGGTCGTTTCGAGTTGAAAGGAGGAATTACAAGATTAATAAAGGAAATATTGTGTTTTTTGTAATTTTGGTGTGTCCATGACCGTACGTAGTCATTCGATGAAGTAGACATGGTGTTAATTTTTGTTTATAAGATATTTCAATTGCTAGATTAAACTAGAAGTCCACTTTGTATCCTCGAACATGAGGTGCAGGGCTACCGCCAGAACAGAGCCAAATAACACATAATTTCACGACCAACGTTTCACGACCATCGCGGTTTTTTTCACGACCAATCCAGCCTTATGGATTTATAGTGTGTTTGGTCGTGACAATAACTTTAATATAATTGTAAATTGAACAGTAAAAGTTCAATTGAAACACATAGTTTTATTATAACTAACAGTATAATTGAAGAATTGTTTAGAAAGATTTAGATTATTCCAGACAATTCACGACCGTACCACTTGTACCTGACCATCACGTTTATGATTTCTATCATAAAAATTTCAAAAATTAAAATATCGTCATATTTCAATGTTTTATACACAAAAGAAGCACACCTCTATACAAACATAATGATTTTTCGGGTCTCAGGTAAGTTTTTTCGGAGTTATACAAACTTAAAAAGATTTTATTGGCTTTTTTCTATTTTTTGAGTTTTTTTTATTTTTTTCTAGAAAGACCAAATATACCAAAAGCTCAGTGACCTTTTTATTGTATAATGGTCATAAAAGTAAATTAGTTTATAGCAAAACATAGTTATAAAAATAATATTAACTATTTTTAATATTCATTTAAACGTCCGTTATGGTCGTGAAAGGATTTTGTGTTTTTCTACTAAAGATGCTCTTTAAAAAGAAAACTACCAAAGATATTGCGTTACCATGGACATTTTATGAAACTTCAAATGTTAATGAAATAAAAATAATAATAAAAGTTTTAAAAAAAGGGGAAAAAAATTTGCAAAGTGCTTTTCCTGAAAACGTACGTTTTTAAATTTTCACTCATATGTGGTTTTCCCAAGGTTACACACAGATGTGTTGAAACATGTAGGAAATATTAAAGAGTTTTTGGAAAACTGTAAATGAACATCTGAACAAGTATTTGTAATCAACTTAATGGTGTTAATACTGAACACAACATTTACAAGAACTGTCAGTCTCGTTTTTTAAACATTTTGATTTAAATACAAACATTTTTTTGGTAAAATCGTCAATAGTTTTTATTGAGTGATATTATAAGTCACTATTCCTTAGATAAAGTACCGGTAAGTAATATCATTGGCTATACCTATAACCCATACAGTAAACCTTCCTAGGTTTTGAAGTAAGATAGACCTCTTATTGGGGTCAATCCTCGGCAGATACCATAGAAATTGGATAATAACTTAATTGCCGATGCCGTACTTAACGAAACAATCGCCATGAACATCTCGTTAATAAGTCTCTCGACTCTCGGTAAGGACTTCTCGGTTCTCTTTTAACGAACACGAGAGAAGCCGTGCTGAAACAAAACAATCACCACGAATATCGCGATAAAAACCTCTCGGTAAGAACCTCTCGCTAAGCAAAAATACAATCCAAACGTCTCGAGAGGTTCAAACAATCAAAACGTTTCGATTTTAACATCTCTCGCAATCACGCTTGGGTAGTTTCTTAACTGGGATATGCTAATATCGGTTGAAACTATCGATTTGATTAGTAAACCTTCATGCGATTTTTTCACCATCAGCAAGTTTGGTTGGTTAGGTTAGGTTATGATCGTTTAATTGTATAATAGATACATTTAAAAATATCGATTATTAATCAATATTTTGGGTACAGTTTCTTAACTGGGCTATGCTAATATTGATTGAAACTATCAAATTCAAAATATTGATCAATAATCAATATTTTAAAATATATCTATTATAAAATTAAACTATCATAACCTAACCTAACCAACCAAACTTGCTGATGGTGAAAAATGTGCATAAAGGTAAACTAATCGAATCGATAGTTTCAATCGATATTAGCATAGCCCAGTTAAGAAACTGTACCCAATATTTTCAACTCGATAGTTCCAATCGATATTAGCATAGCCCAGCTAAAAAACTGTACCCTCACCCTTTACTAGTGGCTTAATTTAACTTAGGCCTATAACTTACCTATTTCATGAAAAACTTTAAAAAAAAAACAAAGGAACCAATATGATTGGTCCAAAAAAATATGTCTTAACCTACATTCAAATCAATCCAGTAAAATAACTTAAATTAGGCTAAACGAATGATCTTAGCCTACTTTCTTCTATTTTTCCTAACCTAGCCTAGCCTACCAACATAAACATTGGAGTCAAACAGGAACTGATGGCATAATATTCTTACCTTTCAAGCGATGGTTGTTCCATTTTGCCACACTGACACTAGATTTTAAATGTTACCGACAGAGGATAAATAACTAAATAAGGTGAATTGAAAGAAACCAGTTTCATCAAGCCATTGTTTGAATTCTGATCACAAAACGCTAACTCAAATACACCATCCACCAAACATGCATTTTGGTTGTTGTTGAAGTAGAAGTAGAGTAGATTCAGATTCAGAATCAGATTGACCCACAAAGGTATTTACTCAGGGGAGGTATTAATAGAAGAGGCTACGATGACAGCTAAGGGCTTCTTATTAGCTGAGGGAACGCCATTACCATAGATTAAACAATCTATGAATTACCCTAATCTATGCCATTACCCTAACAAAACGGATGATAGCCAACGGCCTCGGTGGTCAAACGATTAGCGTGCCGGGCTGATATACTAGGTCCCGGGTTCGAATCCCACTGGTAGCATTAACTTTTTGTCCAAGATTTTTTTTATTATCAGCAAGTTTGGTTGGTTTAGTTTGGTTATTACAGTTTAATTTTATTATTAAGTCATTATAAAATTTTAATTGAGCAATTTCTAGTTTTACTTAATAAACAGAATTATTTTTCCGATTACTAAACTTTTGTTATATTTATATTCTTTATATTCTTATATTCTTATAAGTTATAATATAATATAAGTTATATAATATAAGTAGAATATAAGTTATATTCTTTATCAGCAAGTTTGGTTAGTTCGGTTAGGTTATGATAGTTTAATTTTATAATTAAAAAATAATAAAATTGAATTTTAGGCATTTATAATTTTATTTTATGAACAGAATTATTTTTGCGATTAGTAAACCTTCATTGCCAAAGTGCTCTCTACTACAGCGCTGTTCATGGAGGAATTTTGAACTAAATGCCTCATTTGTACCTCCCCTAAGTCAGACCCTAGAACAAACAACAAGAAACTAACAGCAAAAAAATCTACAGTTGAGTTGAAGCGAAAAATCAGTATTGCCATAACCAAAATATTCTCAAGTTTTAACAAGTCATTGCATATACTATATGCAAACTCAATAACATAAAAAGTAACTTAAGCTAGTTTAGTTATGTCAAAGAGGAGTATGTTTTATCTATGGTCAAAGTTTAAAGAACAACTTACACTGAACATTAAATTTGTTGTTAAGTAGTAGCACAACCAATAGTTTTGCTTTGACATGACTATTCTCATAAAAACAACCTATAATGTCCTATAAAAACTTGTTAAGGTAACTCGACTTTGTGAAGGGTTGGTCCTTCTCCATTTCCTAAATAGATCTCCTAAGATGTATAAATATAGGGATCACTAATAAATTCTTCACAAAAATTATAGGTAAGCAACAGCCAACATCCTAAATACTTATCTTTCACAAATGCTTCGTGTAAATCAGTCAGAGCCGATTATATCAGTCAGAGATTAGTGTACCTACTTGAAAAAGATAGAGCACGGGTATCCCCGGGAACCTCATTTATTTCTGGAGTCACGTGAACAAAAGAATGGCTTCCACAATCCCGTCTCGTCTTGCCGTCTTGTCTACAATAGTTCCATCGCAAAGGAAGCTGCTGAGAACATGTGTGAATATGGCTCACCCGTGTGAAGCCCTCACCACGTTTCTGACAAACAATTGGAGAAAATTCAGCGAAGATTTATTTGTATGGTGGGCTTAAATGGTATCCCCAATCCTCATACCACCACGTGCCGATTGACACTATATAATTTTGTTTTGGCATTTGGTTTTCAGTCGTTGGAGGAACGAAGACCTGCTGAATCAGTCCTGCTGCACTAGATTATCTTTTTTAAACCCCAACTTCACATCTTAGGGCGTTAGTTCTAGGATGTTTTATCTATGGTTCTATGGCCAAGGCAAAGTGTTACCTGTTCTAGCACGAAACTGTATTCCACATTACTTCAGGCTAGTAACATATAGGTTGTGGTATTATCTTCACATAGATAGAATCCATTGGTGATTTGCGGGATTTCAACCCGGGACCTCGGGCACCGAAGCCTCGCACTTTAGCTCGCTCCCCGGTGCACAAGATTGTCTACGGAAGAGTCATCTGTCCTAATACTCCACCAAAAACAGTTCAATCTATGAACTACAACTATACTATACAATCTATGAAGCTATAGACTACAACAACAATAGAAGTCGGGCTTTAGTACCGACGAAATTTTGTTCCTATTATTTTAGGGTTATAATTTCATAATTAATTTGTGCTTTTACTGTTTGGTTATATAACTAGGGTGCGAGTCATTGTTTATGATTAGGGTATATAGTTTTATTTGGTTAAACAACCCAGACAGCACACTTTCTCCTCAGGACATCCCACGGATATTGCGACAGGATATGCAAGATATCCCATAGTGGTCCTATGGTAAACTCGGGATATCACAGGATATCCACAGGAATGCCTAATGTCCCCGCCCGGGGATGTCCTACGGATAAGCTCACACGCATATCCGTGGGACATCCGAGGTCATCCCAGGGTAGTCCTCAGGACATTCTCAGGACATATGGGACTACTATGGGATGTCCCTGGGATAAAGTGTGGTCTGGGCCTGAACATAAAAAACACAAAATAATATGGATTTAGTATGAAAAGCTTAATTATAAGTTTAGTAAATTGATTAAATAGTTAATAAACACAAATTTTGAAGAAAAAAACGAGAAAAAAGTTTTGGGCCCAGACGGGTTTCGAACCTGGTACCTTTGCCTTGTGAGCCTCTTACCTTACCTCCTGAGCTACCTGCGCTTGTTGATTATGGGTGTTTTCAAGTGGTTAAAGAGTAGCCGACAGTTGCAATGGTCGCAATACTTAAAATATTTTTGATACTACAGTATAGGCTATATATGATTCTGTTAATCTGTTTAGACCTCAAGTAGTTGAATTGTTTTTCTGGTAGTTGGAGAGGATACTGGTATTTGAATATAGATTATTTAATCACCATTAGATTAGCACTGTAATAATTGATTGTTATATGATTAAAATTAGTTTTTTGTTGTTTTATTAATTTAAAGTTAGAATTAAATTCACATTTCACACAACTATGATAGAACTCTAGTTTTCCTGAACTCAGTGGTAGTAATATGTCAGTAAAGTAAAGTCAACCCTTGCTAGCCATAGTATTAACAAGACATATTTTCAATCTGGGAAACCTTAAAATTTTAAAATAAATTATAAAACCTCAACATCTTAATGCGTGGGAATCTTATTTTTAGAAAAAAAAACAGACCAAAATTATTTAAATAATGAAGACGGCCCAATTATAAATTCGGAATTACTGAAAATAATTACATCAAGAACAACACTGTAACATATCCAAAATTCAAAAGATTAATTTTTCTAATATTATTTTTTATTTTTCCAATATCCTTTAAATCATCTGTTTTAACTTTGTTTAAAATTAATTTATTAAGTAAATATTTACTTTTTGTACTAGTGTAAACACAGCCTGAAGATGGAAACCAAGTTTCTGAAAGCACTAGTGAAAAAAACAAATTATTATTTAATATTGGCCTTGTTGAACATTTAAATTTAGATATACTGTACATTTCATCAGTGGTAGTATTTTTTTTCTTCAGTTTGTTACCGGGACATTACGGGACATTACAGGATATCCAGTGGATTTTGTACATGTCCCGGGATGTCATGGGACATTCTGGGATATCCTATGGCATTCGTACATATCCCGGGACTTTACAGGATATCCTGAGGTTAACTTACAAATCCCGGGACATTACGGTATATTGTAGGATATCCTGTGGATTTCGTACTCGTCCCGGGATTTTGCGGGATATCCCGAGGATAGCGCACATATCCCGAGATATTCTCAGGACATATGGGACTACTATGGGATGTCCCTGGGATAAAGTGTGCTGTCTGGGAAGGTTTTAAATGGCTGAAATAACAAGAAAAAAATTGTAACATCTACCACGGCCACCTGGTAGAATTGGCGCCCGCGCCAAACATCCCATAAGACAACAGGGCATAAGTTACCATAACATAATAATATGCTCATTAATCTGCATATTATTAATTTTATAATAAATTTAAACGAGCTGTTGAAAATAAAACATTTAGAATTGAAAACCAAACCAATTTAAATCGAAAATCAATTTCTGTACATTTAAAGCGGAGTCAATATATCTTCATATCCCAGTATCTAAGCTTTCGTATTCTTAAAAAATACACAAATAATATTAGGTGACTCCAAATAAAATAGCTGTTACTGTACTACAATACTTGCGAAAAACCGCATCGAACATACTACGACCCCCAAGTATCCAATATCAAAACTAAGTTCATCTATATTGCACTTCTCTGCACGTAAAAATATATTTTTTAAGGAGCTAAACTAAAACAATATAACATAGTTAGCTGTCGTAAGTTTAGCAAAACTACACATCAATAAAATTGTTAGGCAACGATGAACGAGGTAGGTACCTTAATTTCACTACAATTTTTTACATGATATTATATGTGTATTTTAATTTTGCTTCATATTTAGTAAGGTATCTCAATAGTACAGTTATCTTCCTTTCCAAAGCGAAATATTGTTATTTATTTTATTTCTCTTAAACGATTTACCATTGTAGAATTGATTTTTGATTATTATCAATCTATCTTTAAGGAGTGAGGTATAACTATATCTATCAATAGAATGGCTTTCTTCATTTCAATGGTGAAATGTTAACATTTATGTCCCCTAGAGGATTTTGTAGAATAGATTATGATCAATCTCTTTGACGGGGCTCAGTAATGATTTTAACTAATATAATGTATTATACTGCATGTAAAATAATGTTAGTGTAAATTAGTAATCAAAATGTATCAACGTATAATAAGTATAAAAAAACCTTTCAATTTCCTTCCATAACCATGGGATTGTACTCATTGTGTTCAATTGAGCACATGCTGTACCACCCAGGCTACCACCTCACTTGGCTATGTTTAGAATATTGATAACAACCACTGACCAGATTCAGATTTTGGATTTCATAAGCATTGATTGATCATGTTTTCAGACTTTTACATATTATTTTGCCTGGGCGCTTCTGTTAACTGGATAATGTTCCTGTTCCAACTTCATTACATTAGTTGTAACATTGCTACCGGAAAAAATTGTTGTTCTCACTCGATAACTGTGGTACCCATCTTACTGGATAACATTGTTGTTCTCCCACTCGATAACTGTGGTACCCATCTTACTGGATAACATTGTTGTTCATTCGCTGAATCACATTGACGTCCCTCTCCCTCCTACTAGATAACATTCCGCCTACTGGGTAGTGTAGTGCCTCTTTAACTCAGCATTATTTTGGTTAACACCCTAGCTACTGGAAAATATTAACTGGTGTTCTCCCACTGGATAACTTTGGAGGTTTCTTTCGGATAACATCGGTGTTCTTTCGTTGATCACATTGGTTTACCCTCCTACCTACCTGCATCAATGCCTGATGTTGTAAATCCAATAACTGAAAAAAGCACAATTACTACCTACTTAGGTTATTCCGAATATTGTTGATGTTTACATGACTATTGTAGTTGATAGAAGAAAATAAAGTGTTTGAATGTAGAAAATGTGCAAGAGGTGGTCTTAAAAATTGCACAATACGTTTTCCATTAGGCCGACTGTTTATCACTCTCTTTTGAATCAATACCAAAATTAGGGGTATTTTGAGCTCAGATTGCAGACTGAATGAAACATCTCATTGAACTAATAGGGAATGACTATTTTTAGCCCTGGAAGTCTTTAAACACACCGCTAATCAAGATTCCTCAGAATCACAACTACTGTCTCGATGGATCTCAACATACACATTCAAATATTTACGGGCTTCTAATCCCTATCCCACTAACACCAACGCACATTTTCTATGTTGCAAGACATACACTAAACTGGCAATAGTAATCAACAGGTATTGACTGCCTTGCTACAGAAACCTTATCACAGAACATGATTCATAATTGGCTGGAGGATCATCTTTCTTTCACAAATTTGTTGAATACAATGACGAGACTATTATTGCTTCTTACAGTTAAGAACCGGCTTCAGTAGTTCGATGAAGTAAGGAAGTTCTCAGATTTGACCTAGCTTGCTTGGCTCCAACGGAGTCCTTAATTTACAGACAACTCTTGTACCTGAACACAATTCATTTACTTGTGTGTGTGGTGATTTAAAGACAGCAAGGTACCATTACGCAATTGTAACTTCGGCTGGGCAGTGGTTATACGTAAAATGATAAGATGCTGCATGAAAATCTGCAATGTCTGTTTACCAACCCAAGAGGCCAAAAATATAAAGTATATTTCTATACTATTATAAAATTGAGGTGGTGACTGTCTGGGCGGCTGGCAAAAAATACTAAACCAATTCAGCCAAAATTACAACGATGGTCCATATATCTAGGAATGTCACAGGCCTATAGTGTATGTTGTTCTGGTGGCTTTTTGTTTATAAATTCTAACTATATATATTAAGTGTTTGGATCAGGTGGTATAGTACATCTTCCCGTTGCGAAGCACGGGTACAGCAGCTAGTATGCTATAAATATAAACATGTGTTCCAAAAAATCCCAAAATAACTCATTTCCATACATCTTTAAACAGTTTCTAGGTACTTTTTGTTGTTTCTTTTGCAGAAATACAGTTGTTTTATGTCTTTTAAAATTTAGACACATATTTAACTTGTGTTTAGTTGAACGGCCATCTTCTTGACCACACGATAGGTACTATAAATTATTCAACAAAAAATCAAATATCAATTGGAATTATTAAATAAAAACAATTGTGTGGAGTTCCCTCATTTAATTTCTCAGCAAAAAGTAACAAAGCAAATATTATATATTTTTAAAATAAGTAAACACAATGAACTGGCTAACTAAAGTTACCTGATATACAAGTCCAGAATAATATAAATGGTAAAAAATGAAATATTCATCAAAAAATGTATAAGAACAAATTTAATGACTACCATTACATAGTTAATAATAGTCTGGATTTGATGGAGAAACTGACTTATGTTTGTGTTTTAGTAATAGAGGTTTTCCTCGTTTGACAACATTAGGTACGCAAAGTCAAATTCATCGATATGGGGGAGTTAAATTTGTTTTAGATCGGTGGCTGATTTATTGATTGAATGAATACGTTTTACTGTAAACGTACTCAAATGATGAGCATATAGAGAGAAAAAAACAATTTTATCAAACTTCCCCAAAAAGGGAATAAGTTGTTACTGTACTTGGTATGGTAAAACCTAGACCCGGGGACCGATTTTGGTTGTTGTTCTGATGCCCCCAGAGACCAAAAACACCGTTCGTTCAAATTCATATGTATGAGTTTGTTAGCACATTAACTCAAGTTAAAACTATCTGAAATTGGTAAAATTTGGTACAAAATAAATTTTTAATACTTAGCAGGTTGTTTTACATTTTGACGAATGGCATTTAATATACCTGCTGCTCTAAAGCCGTATAGCTTTATTTCTCTTTACTAATCAGTATGCATTTGTTTGTCGATAGTCGGCTGCAGTGGGATAATAGTACCACCGATCCAAAACATCTTTTCTAGTTTCCATCAACAAAACGGGTATAATAAACACACGTGAAAACAAAATGTATTAACTCCAATATAATCCAACTAAACAGAGTGCTGGGTCCAACAAATGAATACAGTTAAGATAAATCAGGTGAGATATAAAAAGAGATCGAAATCAGGAAACAGTATTCTACTCACAATCTGCTTAACTTCTATATCAGAGGATTAAATTCCCTATTATATACATTAAATAGTCAGCCTTAAGTATCAAATTGAATCCACAATCCTCTGCAGGCTAAATTGTCAAGCTATGATACAAGCACACAGAAAATAGTTCACATACCTGTACAAAACAACACAGAATGATATACATGTTGCCTGTTTGCATTGGTACTTTAGAAATTGTGGATTGATTCTTAAACCATTTAGGACAAGATAGTTTACCTCAAAAAATAAAATAATCGTCCCAAAATGTAAATATAAAAGCATAGTATTTTATTCAAAACACAGTTGAAATTTAATTTTAACTACGAGAAATAATGTGGAAAGATTTAAAATTTAAGAGTTAAACATTTCAGTAAAGTCTTAACTCAAATAAACGTTCTGTTTATAAATTTGTTGTTTCCTAAACGCCAATTTGAAGGATTACATCCTAGTAAACAGAAAGCAATATAAAGCCATCTTAAAGTAAGATCTTAATCCTCTTGTACAAATATATTATTGATGCATAAACAACAATTGGGAGGTATGATCCAAACCTGATCAACACAGTAATATACTGAATGTTGTCTAAATAAAATTTACAGTCTAGGATACCACTAGCCAAGGTTACAGCTATACACTCCAGTTAAATTATATAAATTCCAATACGTCTCTAACTTAAAACTATTTTGAAACGGCTCTCGTAGAATGCCTCATCTTAACCAAAACCGATCTTCATAAAGATATTTGAATAATTAAAATGAATTTTCTCACAGGAATCCGATAACTCACGAACTTCTCCAAATAAACATAACACAAAAACAACAAAGAGCGTAAAACCGTACAAATGTAATGCGGCAGAGAATTTTTGTACTCAATAAGTGTATAATACAATTTGCGATGACGGGATATATTCTACGGGTGCTACCATCCCCTATGTGGTGTGGTGGGTCTAGGCGATGACTGGCTCGGGTGTCACCTCCGGTTGCGGACATAGCTCTGTGTCCATCGGCAGCTGCGGCTGAGCCTCTGACTTAGCGCTCCACTGTGCGGGTGCGTGTTTCCGGGTAGGTGTCAGGTCGTGAGGGTAAGGCCTGGTACGAGCTGCACGACGTCGCTCTCGCTTCTCCTCCATGATGAGACGCAAACGCTCCATCTTGTCCCTGGTCGCTTGGTTCTCCACAGAGTCGCTAGGGCCGGAGGATGACGTTGACACCTCGGTGGAGGTTGACGGAGTCAGCAGCTCGCCTGTAAGCCATTGTTATTTGTTATTGATCAGACAAATTTTCAAACTTCCTACTGATATATTAGGTTATAATTAGGCCCTACTATTATTTTAGTCAAAATGTCTTTTAGTAATTAATTGTAACTTGTGAGTAAAACTTGTAAAACAGAGTTATAGTCAAAGAGCCTTTCTATAACTTTTCACTTTCTGAAAATTACGTGACGGGCTTAAGACAACTGCATTGGCAGAAATTAGATCTCTTTAACCAGAAAATGTTTATCAGCACAACGGTTTAACCGGACTAGATCGGCAGGAAGTGGGCGGTACTAAAACGACTGTTCTTGTGGGAAAGATTTGAGACCAGTGATCACGTGTCTAAATACAATGCTCTCCTAAATTTAAGTCAAATACTGTATACAGACCGCAAAAACCGTTATCCGGACTGGCCTCGGTCCCGAGGAGTCCGGATAAGAGGGAGTCTACTGTACTTCCTGTTTTAGTGCATTTACAACACAGTTTGTCAACTTACTTGCATAGCTTTTGGTTACCTCTCTTGTCTTAGGGCCAGACTACACGAGCGTATGAAACGCCACTGTTAGTACGCGCAAAAATGTCTAGGATTACACGAAGCCGACAATCAGCAGCGTATTGGACACGAGAGCATTGACTACTTGAGCGTATAGAACGCCGCCGACTGTCCTCGCCCAATGTGACTGACATTTGGACTGTTCCAATATGGAATGGACACGATACAGGTCGGATGTGTACTGGTATGCTATTGTTGCAGCCTGTTAAGAAGAAATGGTGTGTAAAGAGGCGTTGGTAGTCATGCCGAACATTATAAAGTCGTTTAGTAACAGGGCAGTTTCAATTAATATTTAATACCCATAGAATGTACCCAGACAAACTTTTTCAGCAAAACAAATACAAATATTAAGGCACAAAAAACAATCAGACGACTCCAATTACAACAACTAGTGCAGATGCAGAATTTTACTCGCCCAAGTGAGGGGAAGGATGTATCGCAGGAGAAATGCTAGTTGCCGCTATGTGTAGTCTGCTGCGCCGACGATCTGCCCACGTATTTTACGCATCCAGAGGCGTTAGATCTGCCGAACGCCTGAATTTTGCGTCATCACCAGGCAGACAAAACGCTCGTAAAGTCCACATCATATAAAGCTATTGGCTCTGCAAAAAAAGCAGACGGTCGGCGGCGTTTCATACGCTCGTGTAGTCCGGCACTTAGTGACTTAGTCGGTTATTTGTGGTTAATATTTCAAAGCAGTGTTTTTATTTGATCAATTTCTGTTATTAGTGATAATGGCTTGAATACAACAATGTTAATAGTTTTCATAGAAGAAAAATATAAAGCCTTGGCAATGGTTAATGGATAGTGATTACTTTTACAAAATCGTCGCATGCAAGACGAAGAGGCATAAGTACATTCATTCATGAATTTCTGGTATTTAATTTTGAGCCCAAGTCATGCATGTATTTTGTCTGTACGCAGACTACTCACTCTGGGTCTGCGTGGCGCAGGTCTGTGTGCTGAGGGGAGCTGTGCTGACGCCAGAGGCTTGTCTGCTGTTGCGGTATTGCGGCGTGGCACACAACAGGTCGTTCAGTATGTGAATGATGGTGCTAATATCCCTTTTAGGCCGTCCGTATCTGTCTTGAAGGGCTGGATTCAGTGTACCTACAGCACATAAAGAATTAAGGATGAAAAATTGTTTTCAACTCTTAACATTTACAATTCAGTAAAATGTACCACAGTATAGTGATAATACACTTTGGAAGAACTAAGAGTTAATTGTGCTTTGATTTGACTTTTAACCCAAACATGAGTAAAGGATGAATGACAAATGAGGGGAGATGGCTTGTGTCCTTAGGCCCCTATTAGACGAGGTAGCCTGGCGACGTTGCCAGCGACCAAACTGGCTACTCAGCTTGTCAAGGGTCATTGATTCTTATGGATGTTATTACACGAGGGTAGCCAGCGACGCAGCCACACTTTGGCGACCGACTGGCTACCGAGCCCCGTTGCCACTGCGGTAGCCACTGGCTACCCATATTGGCGACGCTGCGTTGTAGCATATGGAGCTTATTACACTAGGTCGCCAGAATCACGTCGCCACTCGGTCAGTTCATATCACGGGGGTACTTGCACACTGTTGTGTTGTGAGTGGGTGAATTGTTCACTTCAGTTGATAAAATGTCTAGGTACATATGATTCAGTCGAAGGGATACGCGAAGATATGAAGAAAAAAAAGAACCTCCGAAAGGCGAACAAAAGAAAGAATCAAAGAAAAAGCAAGAAGAGCTCATGGAAAAGTGTCAGAAGTTGGCCGACACAAAGTTGAACACTGAAAACTTTATTAGTGACTTTATAACAAGTACAAGTACAAGACAAGCACTCACAACAAAATGAGTAATGGCGGTAAAATTCTAGCTAGGCCTACTCAACTGGCTACTAGGTTTGGTGGCCAGTGCGTCGCCAGCTACTGTCGCTGGCGACGTCGCCAGGCTACCTCGTCTAATAGGGGCCTTATTGACCAAGACTAGCATTTTTTTTATCAGGACGATCAAAGACCGATTAAAGACAGCTGGGTCCAGTTTCGGACCATCGCAAAAATTCAGACTTTTCTCAGAATCAAACCAAAGTAATCAAAAAACAAACAAAAAACTTAAGTAAGCCGAACTTATCACTCCATACTGTATATATTTAGGTACTATGAGAGTTATGCTACACCTGTATTACACATTATGTACATGTAACAATATTTCAAGGCAATTCAATCATCCCTTTATTCACAAAACTTTTGTCACTGATGGTCGGTTTAAAAGCTTAAACATTGAATTTTAACTGTTTTTACCAGCTCCTATAGATTTCATTATCAGATCACAAGAACAAATATCAACTATTAAAACCATAACTTAAAACATTTAATAAATGAAACAGACTTAAAAATGGAGTTAAGCTCACTGGATATGGCTTTGATTTGTTGTAATTTTATGATAAATCACAATTATTGTTCATCAAACTAACCTGAAAATGTTCCCGAGTATACTCCCTTGCCGTGGTGGTGCATGCTTTCAATGATGGCCCCTTGTCTACGTTTGCTGCCAACATCCTGAAACGCAAAGTATAACTGTAATGGGCTGAATGAACACTCGGTTTACCACAACAACAACATAGGATTTTCATTTTCAACCTAGAAACAACTTGGAAGCAAACAAACATAAGGGGTTTGGGCTGCTTTCCCTTAAAACATTTGTAATTCTTTCATACAAAAGGTCACAGTTAGTGTAAACAATAATCAATCAATCAGTGAGTCAGACATTCACATAAGTACTATGAATCTAGCCCTGACTATGAATGATGAAAATTCCTAATGAATGAAGTGCATCTCTTTATGGCGACACATGAGTAAATCTTTCAAACAGAAGTGTAAAAATGGAAATTATGCTTGTTTCTGATGTTGGTAATACTGTATGATGTGATGTTCTTCATTGCAGTTACACTATTTACCTAATCCATATGCACCAATTGCAAACAATTTCTAAATCGAATACCGTGTGCTTCAGTCTAAGGTTTTATTTTCACTCTTACTGTAATGATTGATGTGACTTAAAATAATTCGCCAAAAAAGCTACGGTTCAATTTGACTTGAGTTAAAACACTTTATATATATACAGACATGAGCAAACTTTATGTGGGTGGATGGTGGATCAAGTAAACTACAGAACATGGTTATTTCTATTTAAAACTGGCAACGAATTTGACGTGGGAATGGGATGTCTGCTACTATCAATAGTTGTGCAACAATGTTAACGTTTTCAGTGATTGTTTTCTTATATTCCTTTATAATCACTTCTGCATATTATTATTCTAACCGATTAAAGTACGTTTTTGGTCTTTAGAGACACGATTGACTTAGTGGTGACACTTCTAATGTAGCTCTAATGTAGTAATATCCAAATGTTTCCTTTGGTCATATAACATAGCACAGCACGGGTAAAGCTACTACTGTGGCTGTGTTGTATGCTGGCTGTAGTGTAGACGACGTCAATATGCCATGGGCGTACGGCATGTGGGGGAGTGAGCCCGCGCCAGGACCGCCTACATCTGAGCTGCTGACATCAATGCTATCACACGACCACGCTACAGGCGCGTCTTGTATCAAATTAAACTACCTCTTCTATTTCAATGCTAGTTAACAACAGGGTAAGCTCAAGTTCGCGTGAGCCCCCTTAACAACAACCACATTATATTATGGTTCACCCCCCATCGGGTTATGGGGGAGTTCATGTGGTCCATACTTAATAACAACCGTTTCCCAGATTTAAGTAGTAATTGTTTGTAGTATTGTTTTACGTTTCCGGTACTTCTCACCTGAAGCAGGAAACAGATTTTGGATCTCGAAACGTCGTAAAAACTTAGGTATACTCTAATCGTGGTAAAATGTCGGCAAAGTCGTTTAAATATCACCACTTAGCAAACATTTTTCGGACTTAAACAATCACGAGTAGGGAAATGTAGTTTTCGCGACGCTCGAAACTGGTTTCAGTACCTTGACAGTACATTATATTGCCTGTGGCACAGTGCTTGGAACGTTGGAAGATTGGTGCGAAAACAGTCATAGTTTTCCAAGTACTGTGCTATCGCTATCTCACCCGATGACGAAATTAGATTACCTGGAATTCGCAAAATACAGTAGTGTGTTTCTGTACAACGATGGAAAGTTGACATAGTTTTCACATAACATCTCAAAGAATAATTTTTAGAATAAGCCCAATTTGTATATACATTGTTAACTGCTTTATAAACGTTAGAAGGTAAAAATTAAATAAAATCACGAACAAACATTTAACTCCCAAAATGAGTACACCAAATTCGCATCATTCCATTTTATACAATAAATATTAAGCTACGCAGGTGCAAAAATGCAATTTATAGTAGGTTTTAAGCATCTATTTTTTGACATTGAGCTGTAATTGAACCTCAGTTCTTTGTCCCGGACATTGGCATTGGAAGGGAGAGCCGGTGAGCCCTGTGGCGTGGCGTCGCCATGACGTCATCATAGAGTGGCACCCCCCCCCCCCCACGACTGCCAACGTCTTCGTCAATACACCACACACCACCAGTCATACAAATGTTACACCATCCCAGTTTTGTATATTTGTAACAAATTTCTTAAAAATGGTAAAAAGTCAAAGTTATATTTATATTTAGGTAGGTAAAATTACATCTACAAACAATATTTATGAAATTAGAAAGTGCAAAAATTCCTACTTCACTTTTGTTCATTTAGACACATACAGTACATAGTGCATAAAGTTGAATATGGATGCAAAAGTGGGTGGAATAGAGTGAATGATCGGTAGCTTTGTTCCTGATCAGCTGTTACTTTAGGTAGGAACATTAAAAAGCTCAATGATCAAGACACTATTCACATCCACAAAAACAAGCTCATACCAATCAATATAATCCCGAAAAGTCCGCCTGAAACATAGGACGCTCACGAGGCGTAGCCAGAGAGGATTATGTGACATGAATAGAAGTGTTGCCGGGTTCATGACTTCACCCCTTTGTGTTAAATTTCAACTTGGTGCGTTCACAGTTTTGTGTTCACCCGGAAAAAGATTCTCAGACACACTGACATTAACCACACTAGCTACAACTGATTGTTAATTTTGATGTCTACAAATAAGGCCAAGCTATCGTATTGTCAATTCCTCAGGTAACAAAAACACACTATCCATATTATGAAACACTCATCCACATAGGTCATGCAAACACACTGTTCTATACCAATAGGAAATAGGGGAGTACCTTGAACACCAGGAAAAATAGATTTCCAGGGCAACAATCACATGGCCAAAGGGGCACCCATGTGTGTATTTTGGAATCACCAAATTACACTCATTCAGCTAAAATTCGACCAACAAAGAAACTATTTATATAATACTTGGAATGGAACCTGTTTAGTAAAAATAATTTCAGTGATAAAATAGGTGACCGATTAATTGACAAAGCCTTTTATTCAATTGTAGATTTTTATGACACCTCAATTTAGAATGGCGGCGAGGATATTTTATATTATGATCTGAAGATTGTGCAAATAAAACATATCTTTGTCATGTCAAGCAGTGTAAAAAAATAAAAAGTAAGTTTCCAAAATAATGGCACTTGTCAAGATACAATGTTCAAAACTTGAATACATTGATCCAGTCTTTTCCCACAGTCGACACCAACAGATCAAATACATCCAAATGTAAATGTACAGATTCAACAGTGTTTCAAAAGCGCTCGCAATACAGAAGCGGGTCTTGCACAAGCATTGCACGATTGCACACTGCTGATGACACTACACACTTTCACAAGGGAGCTGACCATGCCATCGGCGATGGTGTACTTGCAAATAATCCCATTTCAATTGTACTTTGGAGTGGAAAAAATATCCCAAAGCATCATGACGCAAAATTGGAAACAAAGTTGTTAAGGTGTTCGATAAGTTAAGAAAGTTTACAAATATGAGGGGACCCATGCGCAAATACACATTTTAATAAGGTTTAGAATTTTCCAAGGTAAAAATAACAGTAGACGTTTTACTTTTCAAATATCTAAATCTACGTCATAAGGACTGAAGAGTGGTTTATTTGCCTCAACCAGATTGCAAAATTATCAAAAAAGGTTCCTACAAAAATGTATTTTCATAAACTGCGTCGTCTTTCTCATGTTGACAATCTGACTGTGGTTGAACATTCAATTGAAGTATCTGTTAAATTACAATTTACATTTAAGTCCATTTAAGTGGGTTCTACACGTCAGCCTAAAGTCAATCCAAGATGGCGGAGTATATGGATTGAAATGTAGCTCGGGATTGAACTTGCCTCGATTGTACAAGCTCTCAACAATCTAAAACTATTGTTTCTAATGATTGTGTGGATTGTGTGCTTTTTGTCCTCTTAACATATCAGGGCTTGCAATGGATGGGAGGGAATTAGTTTTATTTAGAAGTTAAAAGCATGCAAAAAAGACTAATTTACGGATTTTCAAATGATTTTGTAAATACTTAAAGAAACATTTACCAAGTTTCAGTTCATCCAGGGCATAGTTTGGATCTTTGTTAATATTTTACACTTTATTCCAACTCGATAAACAATTTAATAATGTCACGAAGTTCTGTATTTTGTAGGACCATGTTTACGCGGTAACTAGGAGGTGGGTGGAACAGTTATAAAGAAAGTTGGTCAGCATACTGGATCTTTGAAAAAGGGCTATAGAAATAAATTAAACTGGAGGAGGCGAAGCCTTAAAGGAAATTACTTTTCGTAACCATTCGCAGGTTCTCTATAGGTTTAGGCTGTTTAGGTATTGTAGCTGCATTTAAACAGGGTATTGACAGTGATCAATCGATAGTCGAGCTGGAGCTGTATAGGAGACAGGGCTGAGGAGCGAGGGTTCGAATCCCGTTTTTGTCTAACCAATGTGCAAATCACGAGTCCACCTGTGTGTAGCAGGGCCTGGTGGGAGAGATATCGTCTATCTAAAATACGGTGGGTTGGATGGGTTGTCGGGTGGAAGCTGTGGGATAAACAATCTTTGTGGGTTGTACCTTACATCCCCCGCATCAGGAATTTTACTGTTTTTAGCTTATCCTTGCTTTGTGTGTCCCACTTAAACTCCATCCCATCTAAAAGTATTCTTGTCTCCATGGACATCGGGGAAAACATGATCGAAATGAACAGAATTAAATCATTAATTATAAATGATTACCGAAGTAATTATGCTTGATTAAGTTTCGATTGAGAGGAAAATAAACTTAAGTCTACGAATAAAACAACACACGACTTTGTACAAACGCTCCAGATTAAATAAATCTGCTTATTTAAATAGGTATAGAATTAAGAACTTAGGCCAAAGTTTTACAGTAAATAGTAAATTTACAGGCCAGTAGTTTTACAGTAAATTTGGTTCACATCGAAACTTAATTCCAACAAATGTTGTAAAATCAACAAACACTAATACACGGGTTTTGTATGTGTTTATTGCATATTGATTATTTCGGCTATTCATCCAAGACTTAATAATGTGATGTACATTTTCAAAAATATGCGTGTTGTTTCG